GGTTCAGTCCTGGTTTAATCCTAGTTTAGTCCTGGTTTAGACCTAGTTTAGTCCTGGTTTAATCCTAGTTTAGTCCTGGTTGAGTCCTGGTTTAGTCCTGGTTTAATCCTAGTTTAGTCCTGGTTTAGTCCTGGTTTAGTCCTGGTTTAGTCCTGGTTTAGTCCTGGTTTAATCCTAGTTTAGTCCTGGTTCAGTCCCGGTTTAGTCCTGGTTCAGTCCTGGTTTAATCCTAGTTTAGTCCTGGTTTAGACCTAGTTTAGTCCTGGTTTAGTCCTGGTTTAGTCCTGGTTTAGTCCTGGTTTAATCCTAGTTTAGTCCTGGTTCAGTCCCGGTTTAGTCCTGGTTCAGTCTTGGTTTAATCCTAGTTTAGTCCTGGTTTAGACCTAGTTTAGTCCTGGTTTAATCCTAGTTTAGTCCTTGTTCAGTCCTGGTTTGTTTTTCTATTTTGATTTTAGAGACAAATAATGAAGAAAATGGTCGTTTTTTCATTTTCTTATTTTTGGTTTTATTTTGAAAAACAAACGAATGACAAACGAATGATTCTCCGTGAAAACAGAAAAGCTCTAGGACGTTTTTTTTTTTTTTTTTGACTGTTTACAAATACGAGGCCTGGATGGAATATTATTTATTTGTCTCCACGCGTCTCCAACACTCTGGCCCTATGTCCAAAATTCCGGACTGTCCCTTTAATGCACTTGCTGTAGGTTTCCACGGAGGGGAGGCCCTGGTGTGTTTTACGTGGGGCTTGTCTCGGGTTTGTTCGGTCGCGATGGTCGTTTCCAGTTTTGTCCGTGGTTCGTTTGAGGCTCGTGTGTCCGTGTCAGGAGAGAAGAGCGTTTCCCACCACAGTCCAGTTTAAAGAGCTGCTAAAGTGAAGGCTCAGGTTCCACTCCGACCTCAATTATCACGTTTCTGATGAGTCGCTGAAATTGATTGTTTCGTCTGATTGAGGTTTTGTTTCGATTTTGTCTCGGTTTTGTCTCGGTCTTGTCTCGATCTTGTCTTGATCTTGTCTCGGTCTTGTTTCGGTCTTGTCTTGGTCTTGTCTTGGTCTTTGTCTCAATTTTGTCTCGATCTTGTCTCGATCTTGTCTCGATCTTGTTTCGGTCTTGTCTCGGTCTTGTCTCGATCTTGTCTCGATCTTGTCTCGATCTTGTCTCGGTCTTGTCTTGGTCTTGTTTCGGTCTTGAAGGCACTTGGACTCGGTCTTGTCTCGATCTTGTCTCGGTCTTGTCTTGGTTTTCTCGGTCTTGTCTTGGTCTTGTTTCGGTCTTGAAGGCACTTGGACTCGGTCTTGTTTCGATCTTGTCTCGGTCTTGTCTCGGTCTTGTCTTGGTCTTGTTTCGGTCTTGAAGGCACTTGGACTCGGTCTTGTCTCGGTCTTGTCTCGGTCTTGTCTCGGTCTTGTCTTGGTTTTGTCTCGGTCTTGTCTTGGTCTTGTTTCGGTCTTGAAGGCACTTGGACTCGGTCTTGTCTCAATCTTGTCTCGGTCTTGTCTCGGTTTTGTCTCGGTCTTGTCTTGGTCTTGTTTCGGTCTTGAAGGCACTTGGACTCGGTCTTGTCTCGGTCTTGTCTCGGTCTTGTCTCGGTCTTGTCTCGGTTTTGTCTCGGTCTTGTCTCGGTCTTGTCTCGATCTTGTCTCGGTCTTGTCTTGGTCTTGTTTCGGTCTTGAAGGCACTTGGACTCGGTCTTGTCTCGATCTTGTCTCGGTTTTGTCTCGGTCTTGTCTCGGTTTTGTCTCGATCTTGTCTCGATCTTGTCTCGATCTTGTCTCGGTCTTGTCTCGGTCTTGTCTCGGTTTTGTCTCGGTCTTGTCTCGATCTTGTCTCGGTCTTGTCTTGGTCTTGTTTCGGTCTTGAAGGCACTTGGACTCGGTCTTGTTTCGATCTTGTCTCGGTCTTGTCTCGGTCTTGTCTCGGTCTTGTCTCGGTCTTGTCTCGGTTTTGTCTCGGTCTTGTCTCGATCTTGTCTCGATCTTGTCTCTTGTCTCGGTTTGTCTCGGTTTTGTCTTGGTCTCGATCTTGTCTCGGTTTTGTCTCGATCTTGTCTCGGTCTTGTCTTGTCTTGGTTTTGTCTCGGTCTTGTCTCGATCTTGTCTCAATCTTGTCTCGATCTTGTCTCGATCTTGTCTCGATCTTGTCTCGGTCTTGTCTCGTCGGTCTTGTCTCGGTCTTGTTTCGATCTTTGTCTCGGTCTTGTCTCGGTCTTGGTCTTGTCTCGTCTTGTTTCGGTCTTGTCTCGGACTTGTCTTGTTTTGTCTCGGTCTTGTTTCGGTCTTGAAGGCACTTGGACTCGGTCTTGTTCGATCTTGTCTCGATCTTGTCTCGGTCTTGTCTCGGTCTTGTCTCGGTCTTGTCTTGGTTTTGTCTTGGTCTTGTTTCGGTCTTGAAGGCACTTGGACTCGGTCTTGTTTCGATCTTGTCTCGGTTTTGTCTTGGTCTTGTCTCGGTCTTGTCTCGATCTTGTCTCGGTCTTGTCTCGGTCTTGTTTCGATCTTGTCTCGGTCTTGTCTCGGTCTTGTCTCGGTCTTGTCTCGATCTTGTCTCGATCTTGTCTCGGTCTTGTCTTGGTCTTGTCTCGGTCTTGTTTCGGTCTTGAAGGCACTTGGACTCGATCTTGTCTCGGACTTGTCTTGGTCTTGTCTCGGTCTTGTTTCGGTCTTGAAGGCACTTGGACTCGGTCTTGTTTCGATCTTGTCTCGGTCTTGTCTTGATCTTGTCTCGGTCTTGTCTCGGTCTTGTCTTGGTCTTGTCTCGGTCTTGTTTCGGTCTTGAAGGCACTTGGACTCGGTCTTGTCTCGGACTTGTCTTGGTTTTGTCTCGGTCTTGTTTCGGTCTTGAAGGCACTTGGACTCGATCTTGTCTCGGACTTGTCTTGGTTTTGTCTCGGTCTTGTTTCGGTCTTGAAGGCACTTGGACTCGGTCTTGTTTCGATCTTGTCTCGGTCTTGGTCTCGGTCTTGTTCGGTCTTGTCTCGGACTTGTCTTGGTTTTGTCTTGGTCTTGTTTCGGTCTTGAAGGCACTTGGACTCGGCCTTGTTTCGATCTTGTCTCGGTCTTTGTCTCGGTCTTGTTTCGGTCTTGTCTCGATCTTGTCTCGGTCTTGTCTCGTCTCGGTCTTGTCTCGGTCTTGTTTCGATCTTGTCTCGGTCTTGTCTCGGTCTTGTTTCAGTCTTGTCTCGATCTTGTCTCGATCTTGTCTCGGTCTTGTCTCGGTCTTGTCTTGGTCTTGTTTCGGTCTTGAAGGCACTTGGACTCGATCTTGTCTCGGTCTTGTCTCGGTCTTGTCTCGGTCTTGTCTCGGTCTTGTCTCGATCTTGTCTCGGTTTTGTCTCGGTCTTGTCTCGGTCTTGTCTCGCTGGCTCAGGTTCCACTCTGACCTCCTCTCAACACGTACTTACAGGTCCTCATTACACTCACTGGGTTTTTACTGGGACTTTACTTGTCCAATAATCGTGGATAATTATCACGTTTCTGATGAGTCGCTGAAATTGTTTGTTTCGTCTGATTGAGGTCTTGTCTTGGTCTTGTCTTGGTCTTGGTCTTGGTCTTGTCTTGGTCTTGTCTTGGTCTTGTCTTGGTCTTGTCTTGGTCTTGTTTCATCACGGAGAGGTTTTAGTCTTAGTTTAGTCCTGGTTTAGTCCTAGTTTAGTCCTGGTCTTAATTCTGGTTTAGTTCTGGTTTTAGTCCTGGTTTAGTCCTGGTTTAGCTCTGGTTTTAGTCCTGGTTTAGCCCTAGTTTAGTCCTGGTTTAGTCTTGGTTTAGTCCTAGTTTAGTCCTGGTTTTAGTTCTGGTTTTAGTCCTTGTTTAGTCCTGGTTAAGTCCTAGTTTAGTCTTATTTTAATCCTAGTTTAGTCCTGATTTTAGTCCTTGTTTTAGTCCTAGTTTAGCTCTGGTTTTAGTCCTGGTTTTAGTTCTGGTTTTAGTCCTGGTTTAGTCCTGGTTGTAATCCTGGTTTAGTCCTGGTTTTGTCCTGGTTTTGTTCTGGTTTAGTTCTGGTTTAGTTCTGGTTTTAGTTTTGGTTTTAGTCTTTTTTTAGCTCTGGTTTTAGTCCTGGTTTTAGTTCTGGTTTTAGTCCTGGTTTAGTCCTGGTTTTGTCCTGGTTTAGTCCTGGTTTAGTCCTGGTTTAGTCCTGGTTTTGTCCTGGTTTAGTCCTGGTTTTGTCCTGGTTTAGTTCTGGTTTTGTCCTGGTTTAGTTCTGGTTTTAGTTCTGGTTTTAGTCCTAGTTTAGCTCTGGTTTTAGTCCAGGTTTTAGTTCTGGTTTTAGTTCTGGTTTTAGTCCTAGTTTTAGTCCTTGTTTTAGTCCTAGTTTAGTTCTGGTTTTTAGTTCTGGTTTTAGTCCTAGTTTAGTTCTGGTTTTAGTTCTGGTTTTAGTCCTAGTTTAGTTCTGGTTTTAGTTCTGGTTTTAGTCCTAGTTTAGCTCTGGTTTTAGTCCTGGTTTTAGTCCTTGTTTTAGTCCTAGTTTAGTTCTGGTTTTAGTTCTGGTTTTAGTCCTAGTTTAGCTCTGGTTTTAGTCCTCAAACCTGCGTGAAATACTTTTACTTTTTCATTAAGTACTTTTTATTTTTATTTTTATTGTATTTGTATTTGTATTTGATTTCACCTTCCCCGTCTCAGCTTCTCGAACCCGGTGGAGTGGGGCGTGTACGCGGGCATCACGGAGCTGCCCGGGCACGGCTCTGCGGCTCTGGAGGTGGACAAGATCGTGTATCACGCTCGCTACAAAGGCAAACTGGACTACGACATCGCTCTCCTGAAACTGCGCACGCCGCTGCTCTTCAACGGTCAGACTTTTACTCACCTTTGACCCCAAGTTTGACGATGATTCGGGTTGTATGTATGAAAAGACCTGGTTTAGACCTGGTTTAGTCCTGGTTTAGTCCTGGTTCAGTTCTGATTCAGTCCTGGTTTAGTCCTGTTTTAGTCCTGGTTCAGTTCTGATTCAGTCCTGGTTTAGTCCTGTTTTAGTCCTGGTTCAGTTCTGATTCAGTCCTAGTTTAGTCCTGGTTTAGTCCTGGTTCAGTTCTGATTCAGTCCTGGTTTAGTCCTGCTTTTGTCCTCTTTTAGACCTGGTGTAATCCTGGTTCAGTCCTAGTTTAGTCCTGGTTTTGGTCCTGTTTTAGTCCTGGTTTAGACCCGTTTTAGGCCTGTTTTAGTCTTGCTTTAGTCCTGGTTTTAGTCCTGGTTTAGTTCTGGTTCAGTTCTGATTCAGTCCTGGTTTAGTCCTGTTTTAGTCCATCTTATACTTGTTTTAGTCCTGGTTTTGTCCTGTTTTAGTCCTGGTTCAGTCCTAGTTTAGTTCCAGTTTAGACCTGTTTCAGTCCTAGTTTAGTCCTGGTTTAGTCTTGGTTTAGTCCTAGTTTAGTCCTGGTTTTAGTTCTGGTTTTAGTCCTCGTTTAGTCCTTGTTTAGTCCTGGTTAAGTCCTAGTTTAGTCTTATTTTAATCCTAGTTTAGTCTTGGTTCAGTCCTGTTTTAGATCTGTTTTAGTCCAGCTTTAAACTTGTTTTAGTCCGGTTTTAGTCCTGGTTCAGTCCTAGTTTAGTCCTGCTTTAGTCCTGTTTTAGTTCTGGTTTAGACCTGGTTCAGTCCTAGTTTAGTCCTGCTTTAGTCCTGCTTTAGTCCTGTTTTAGTTCTGGTTTAGACCTGGTTCAGTCCTAGTTTAGTCATGGTTTTGTCCTAGTTTAGTTCCAGTTTAGACCTGGTTCAGTCCTAGTTTAGTCCTGGTTTAGTCCTTGTTTAGTCTTGGTTCAGTCCTGATTTAGTCCTGCTTTAATCCTGTTTTAGTCGTGTTTTAGTCCTGGTTCAGTCCTAGTTTAGTCCTGGTTTAATCCTTGTTTTAGACCTGTTTTAGTCCCCGTTTTGGGCCTGTTTTAGTCCTGCTTTAGTCCTGTTTTAGTCCTGGTTTTGTCCTGTTTTAGTCCTGGTTCAGTTCTGATTCAGTCCTAGTTTAGTCCTGGTTTAGACCTGTTTTAGTCCATCTTATACTTGTTTTAGTCCTGGTTTTGTCCTGTTTTAGTCCTGGTTCAGTCCTAGTTTAGTTCCAGTTTAGACCTGTTTCAGTCCTAGTTTAGTCCTGGTTTAGTCTTGGTTTAGTCCTAGTTTAGTCCTGGTTTTAGTTCTGGTTTTAGTCCTCGTTTAGTCCTTGTTTAGTCCTGGTTAAGTCCTAGTTTAGTCTTATTTTAATCCTAGTTTAGTCTTGGTTCAGTCCTGTTTTAGATCTGTTTTAGTCCAGCTTTAAACTTGTTTTAGTCCGGTTTTAGTCCTGGTTCAGTCCTAGTTTAGTCCTGCTTTAGTCCTGTTTTAGTTCTGGTTTAGACCTGGTTCAGTCCTAGTTTAGTCCTGCTTTAGTCCTGCTTTAGTCCTGTTTTAGTTCTGGTTTAGACCTGGTTCAGTCCTAGTTTAGTCCTGTTTTAGTTCCAGTTTAGACCTGGTTCAGTCCTAGTTTAGTCCTGGTTTAGTCCATGTTTAGTCTTGGTTCAGTCCTGATTTAGTCCTGCTTTAATCCTGCTTTAGTCCTGTTTTAGTCGTGTTTTAGTCCTGGTTCAGTCCTAGTTTAGTCCTGGTTTAATCCTTGTTTTAGACCTGTTTTAGTCCCCGTTTTGGGCCTGTTTTAGTCCTGCTTTAGTCCTGTTTTAGTCCTGGTTTTGTCTTGTTTTAGTCCTGGTTCAGTTCTGATTCAGTCCTAGTTTAGTCCTGGTTTAGTCCTGGTTCAGTTCTGTTTTTGTTCCTGTTTCCTGTCAAAAAATGTGTAACGAAAGAGAAAAAAAAACACATAAAAGTCACACTTTTTGGAGGAAATTAGTTTTAAATCCCTCGGGGAGCCACAGGTCGGAGACTCCTGATATCGGCCGATAATATCCACCAACCGATATCTGCTGACAAAAAAAAAACACACACAAAGTTAATACGAAGAGAAAATCAGACAAATCAAATACTTGTACTTTTTCCTCATTAATTACATTTTTAACCGGTACTTTATACTTTTACTTAAGTCGACTTTTCCATGTGATACTTTTACTTTTACTTGAGTATTTTTCATCTGGACTATGGGTTGGTGGACTATAAGTCCTGGTTTAGACCTGGTTTAGACCTGGTTCAGTTCTGATTCAGTCCTAGTTTAGTCCTGGTTTGTCCTCTTTTAGACCTGGTGTAATCCTGGTTTAGTCCTAGTTTAGTCCTGGTTTTAGTCCCGTTTTAGGCCTGTTTTAGTCTTGCTTTAGTCCTGGTTGAGTCCTGGTTTAGACCTGGTTCAGTTCTGATTCAGTTCCAGTTTAGTCCTGGTTTGTCCTCTTTTAGACCTGGTGTAATCCTGGTTTAGTCCTAGTTTAGTCCTGGTTTTAGTCCTGGTTTAGTTCTGGTTTAGTTTTGATTCAGTCCTGGTTTAGTCCTGGTTTAGACCCATTTTAATCCCTGGTTTAGTCCTGCTTTAGTCCTGGTTTAGTCCTTGTTTAGTCCTGGTTCAGTCCTAGTTTAGTTCCGGTTTAGGCCTGGTTTAGTCCTGTTTTAGACCCATTTTAGTCCTGCTTTTGTCCTAGTTTAGACCTGCTTTAGTCCTGTTTTAGTCCAGCTTTAGACTTGTTTTAGTCCTGGTTTAGTCCTTGTTTATTCCTGGTTTAGACCTGTTTTAGTCCCCGTTTTGGGCCTGTTTCAGTCCTGTTTTAGACCTGGTTTAGACCTGTTTTAGTCCTGGTTTAGTCCTAGTTTAGTCCTAGTTTAGTCCTGGTTCAGTCCTGTTTTAGTCCTGGTTTAGTCTTGGTTTAGTCCTGGTTTATTCCTTGTTTTAGTCCTGGTTTAGTCCTGGTTTATTCCTTGTTTTAGTCCTGGTTCAGTTCTGTTTTTGTTCCTGTTTCCTGCCAAAAAATGTGTAACGAAAGAGAAAAAAAACACATATAAGTCGCACTTTTAATTACATTTTTAACCGGTACTTTATACTTTTACTTAAGTCGACTTTTCCATGTGATACTTTTACTTTTACTTGAGTATTTTTCATCTGGACTCTGGCTTTGGACTATAAGTCCTGGTTTAGACCTGGTTTAGACCTGGTTCAGTTCTGATTCAGTCCTAGTTTAGTCCTGGTTTAGTCCTGGTTCAGTTCTGATTCAGTCCTGGTTTAGTCCTGCTTTTGTCCTCTTTTAGACCTGGTGTAATCCTGGTTCAGTCCTAGTTTAGTCCTGGTTTTGGTCCTGTTTTAGTCCTGGTTTAGACCCGTTTTAGGCCTGTTTTAGTCTTGCTTTAGTCCTGGTTTTAGTCCTGGTTTAGTTCTGGTTCAGTTCTGATTCAGTCCTGGTTTAGTCCTGTTTTAGTCCATCTTATACTTGTTTTAGTCCTGGTTTTGTCCTGTTTTAGTCCTGGTTCAGTCCTAGTTTAGTTCCAGTTTAGACCTGTTTCAGTCCTAGTTTAGTCCTGGTTTAGTCTTGGTTTAGTCCTAGTTTAGTCCTGGTTTTAGTTCTGGTTTTAGTCCTCGTTTAGTCCTTGTTTAGTCCTGGTTAAGTCCTAGTTTAGTCTTATTTTAATCCTAGTTTAGTCTTGGTTCAGTCCTGTTTTAGATCTGTTTTAGTCCAGCTTTAAACTTGTTTTAGTCCGGTTTTAGTCCTGCTTTAGTCCTGTTTTAGTTCTGGTTTAGACCTGGTTCAGTCCTAGTTTAGTCCTGCTTTAGTCCTGTTTTAGTTCTGGTTTAGACCTGGTTCAGTCCTAGTTTAGTCATGGTTTTGTCCTAGTTTAGTTCCAGTTTAGACCTGGTTCAGTCCTAGTTTAGTCCTGGTTTAGTCCTTGTTTAGTCTTGGTTCAGTCCTGATTTAGTCCTGCTTTAATCCTGTTTTAGTCGTGTTTTAGTCCTGGTTCAGTCCTAGTTTAGTCCTGGTTTAATCCTTGTTTTAGACCTGTTTTAGTCCCCGTTTTGGGCCTGTTTTAGTCCTGCTTTAGTCCTGTTTTAGTCCTGGTTTTGTCCTGTTTTAGTCCTGGTTCAGTTCTGATTCAGTCCTAGTTTAGTCCTGGTTTAGACCTGTTTTAGTCCATCTTATACTTGTTTTAGTCCTGGTTTTGTCCTGTTTTAGTCCTGGTTCAGTCCTAGTTTAGTTCCAGTTTAGACCTGTTTCAGTCCTAGTTTAGTCCTGGTTTAGTCTTGGTTTAGTCCTAGTTTAGTCCTGGTTTTAGTTCTGGTTTTAGTCCTCGTTTAGTCCTTGTTTAGTCCTGGTTAAGTCCTAGTTTAGTCTTATTTTAATCCTAGTTTAGTCTTGGTTCAGTCCTGTTTTAGATCTGTTTTAGTCCAGCTTTAAACTTGTTTTAGTCCGGTTTTAGTCCTGGTTCAGTCCTAGTTTAGTCCTGCTTTAGTCCTGTTTTAGTTCTGGTTTAGACCTGGTTCAGTCCTAGTTTAGTCCTGCTTTAGTCCTGCTTTAGTCCTGTTTTAGTTCTGGTTTAGACCTGGTTCAGTCCTAGTTTAGTCCTAGTTTAGTTCCAGTTTAGACCTGGTTCAGTCCTAGTTTAGTCCTGGTTTAGTCCATGTTTAGTCTTGGTTCAGTCCTTATTTAGTCCTGCTTTAATCCTGCTTTAGTCCTGTTTTAGTCGTGTTTTAGTCCTGGTTCAGTCCTAGTTTAGTCCTGGTTTAATCCTTGTTTTAGACCTGTTTTAGTCCCCGTTTTGGGCCTGTTTTTAGTCCTGCTTTAGTCCTGTTTTAGTCCTGGTTTTGTCTTGTTTTAGTCCTGGTTCAGTTCTGATTCAGTCCTAGTTTAGTCCTGGTTTAGTCCTGGTTCAGTTCTGTTTTTGTTCCTGTTTCCTGTCAAAAAATGTGTAACGAAAGAGAAAAAAAAACACATAAAAGTCACACTTTTTGGAGGAAATTAGTTTTAAATCCCTCGGGGAGCCACAGGTCGGAGACTCCTGATATCGGCCGATAATATCCACCAACCGATATCTGCTGACAAAAAAAAAACAAACACACAAAGTTAATACGAAGAGAAAATCAGACAAATCAAATACTTGTACTTTTTCCTCATTAATTACATTTTTAACCGGTACTTTATACTTTTACTTAAGTCGACTTTTCCATGTGATACTTCTACTTTTACTTGAGTATTTTTCATCTGGACTATGGGTTGGTGGACTATAAGACCTGGTTTAGACCTGGTTTAGACCTGGTTCAGTTCTGATTCAGTCCTAGTTTAGTCCTGGTTTAGTCCTTGTTTAGTCTTGGTTTAGACCTGATTTTAGTCCAATTTTAGTCCTGTTTTAGTCCCCGTTTTAGGCCTGTTTTAGTCCTGCTTTAGTCCTGGTTTAGTCCTGGTTTAGACCTGGTTTAGACCTGGTTCAGTTCTGATTCAGTTCCAGTTTAGTCCTGGTTTGTCCTCTTTTAGACCTGGTGTAATCCTGGTTTAGTCCTGGTTTTAGTCCTGGTTTAGTTCTGGTTCAGTTCTGATTCAGTCCTGGTTTAGTCCTGGTTTAGACCCATTTTAATCCCTGATTTAGTCCTGTTTTAGTCCTGGTTCAGTCCTAGTTTAGTTCCGGTTTAGGCCTGGTTTAGTCCTGTTTTAGACCCATTTTAGTCCTGCTTTTGTCCTAGTTTAGTCCTGGTTTAGTCCTTGTTTAGACCTGGTTTAGTCCTGCTTTAGTCCTGTTTTAGTCCAGCTTTAGACTTGTTTTAGTCCTGGTTTAGTCCTTGTTTATTCCTGGTTTAGACCTGTTTTAGTCCCCGTTTTGGGCCTGTTTCAGTCCCGTTTTAGACCTGGTTTAGACCTGTTTTAGTCCTGGTTTAGTCTTAGTTTAGTCCTAGTTTAGTCCTGGTTTATTCCTTGTTTTAGTCCTGGTTTAGTCCTTGTTTTATTCCTTGTTTTAGTCCTGGTTCAGTCCTGTTTTAGTCCTGGTTTAGTCTTGGTTTAGTCCTGGTTTATTCCTTGTTTTAGTCCTGGTTTAGTCCTGATTTAGTCCTGGTTTAGTCCTGGTTCAGTTCTGTTTTTGTTCCTGTTTCCTGCCAAAAAATGTGTAACGAAAGAGAAAAAAAACACATATAAGTCGCACTTTTAATTACATTTTTAACCGGTACTTTATACTTTTACTTAAGTCGACTTTTCCATGTGATACTTTTACTTTTACTTGAGTATTTTTCATCTGGTGTCTGCGCTTTTACTCCACCTCGTCCAGGTTCCGTGGAGCCCATCTGCCTGCCCAACCACGGGGAGGTGTACGAGGACGGGACCATGTGCTGGATCTCGGGCTGGGGGGCCACGGAGAACGGAGGTGAGTCCGGACCGGATCTGTCCCGCTTTTTCATAATCCACATATCGAGACACGGACTGAGCCGAGGACCGAGGGCCGGGGACCTCAGACTGATGTCAGTACTGTGAATGACTGAGTCCGGGTTTAGACCTGGTTTAGTCCTGGTTTAGACCTGATTCAGTTCTGGTTTAGACCTGCTTCAATCCTAGTTTAGTCCTGGTTTAGACCTGTTTTAGACCTGGTTTAGTCCTGGTTTTAGTCCTGTTTTAGTCCTGGTTTAGACCTGGTTTAGTCCTGGTTTTAGTCCTGTTTTAGACCTGTTTCAGTCCTTGTTTACTCTTGGTTTGACCTGGTTTAGACCTGGTTTAGTCTTGCTTTAGTCTTGTTTTAGTTCTGTTTTAGTCCTGGTTTAGATCTGGTTTAGACCTGTTTAGACCTGTTTTAATCCTGTTTTTGTCCTATTTTAGTCCTGCTTTGGTCCTGGTTCAGTCCTGTTTTAGACCTGTTTTAGTCCTGGTTTAGTCCTGGTTCAGTCCTGTTTTAGTCCTGTTTTAGACCTGTTTCAGTCCTTGTTTACTCTTGGTTTGACCTGGTTTAGACCTGGTTTAGTCCTGGTTTAGTCCTGTTTTAGTCCAGCTTTAGACCTGGTTTAGACCTGTTTTAGTCCTGCTTTAGTCTTGCTTTAGTCTTGTTTTAGACCTGCTTTAGTCCTGGTTTTAGTTCTGTTTTAGACCTGGTTTAGACCTGTTTAGACCCGTTTTAATCCTGTTTTTGTCCTATTTTAGTCCTGTTTTAGTCCTGGTTCAATCCTGGTTCAGTCCTGGTTCAGTCCTGTTTTAGACCTGTTTTAGACCTGTTTCAGTCCTTGTTTACTCTTGGTTTAGTCCTGGTTTAGACCTGGTTTAGACCTGTTTTAGTCCTGCTTTAGTCTTGCTTTAGTCTTATTTTAGACCTGTTTTAGACCTGTTTTAGTCCTGTTTTAGACCTGTTTCAGTCCTAGTTTAGTCCTGTTTTAGTCCTGTTTTAGTCCTGGTTTAGACCTGGTTTAGACCTGTTTTAGTCCTGCTTTAGTCTTGCTTTAGTCTTGTTTTAGACCTGCTTTAGTCCTGGTTTTAGTCCTGTTTTAGACCTGTTTCAGTCCTAGTTTAGTCCTGTTTTAGTCCTGTTTCAGTCCTGGTTTAGTCCTGGTTTAGTCCTGTTTTAGTCCAGCTTTAGACCTGGTTTAGACCTGTTTTAGTCCTGCTTTAGTCTTGCTTTAGTCTTGTTTTAGACCTGCTTTAGTCCTGGTTTTAGTTCTGTTTTAGTCCTGGTTTAGATCTGGTTTAGACCTGGTTTAGACCTGTTTTAATCCTGTTTTTGTCCTATTTTAGTCCTGCTTTGGTCCTGGTTCAGTCCTGTTTTAGACCTGTTTTAGTCCTTGTTTACTCTTGGTTTAGTTCTGGTTTAGTCCTGGTTTAGTTCTGGTTTAGTCTTTATCACCTCGATGACTCTGGCTTAGTCCACTTTTTTCCACACTCTGCTCAGACCCTTTTGTTTTTGTGTCTGTGTTGTTGTCTGTGTGTGTGTGTATCTGTCTGTGTGTTTGTGTCTGTGTGTTTGTGTGTGTGTGTCTGTGTGTTTGTGTGTGTGTGTGTGTGTGTGTGTCTGTGTGTGTGTCTCTGTGTATCGTTTGCGTGTCGTGTGTTTGTGTTTGTGTCGTCGTCGTCGTGTTCAGGAGAGTCCAGCGTGGTCCTGCGCTCGGCCGTGGTGCCCCTGATCTCCACTAAAGAGTGCACCCAGCCCGACGTGTACCCGGGCCTCATCTCCGCGGGCATGATCTGCGCCGGGTACCTGCAGGGCGGCGTCGACTCCTGCCAGGTACAAAAAAACAAAAACACAACCACGAGAACATTTAGACCACGACTTAAGACGAAGACGCTCACCAGAAGAAGACGTTTGGAAACACGAGGACGACGAAATCTGACGAAATCTGGGAAAACTGAGAAAATGTCCCGGTTTTTCTTCATCTCGACGTCACTGTGTCCTTTCTGTTTTCTGTTTATAAAATGCCGATTAATCTGTGGATTATAATAGTCCAGGAACACCAGGACCGAGACCGGGACCGAGACTGGGACCGGGACTGAGACCGGGACTGAGACCGAGACCAGAGTAGGACTAAGACTGGGACCAGGCCAGGACTGAGACCAGGACTGAGACTGGGACGGAGACTGGGGCCAGACCGGGACTGAGATCGGGACCAGAGTAGGACTAAGACTGGGATCAGGCCAGGACTGAGACTGGGACGGAGACTGGGGCCAGACCGGGACTGAGATCGGGACCAGACCAAAACCAGAGTAGGACTGAGACCGAGACTGAGACCAGGACCAGACCGAGACTGAGACTGGGACCAGTACCGGGACCGAGACCGGGACCGAGACCGGGACCGAGACCGGGACCGAGACCGAGACCGGGACCGAGACCAGGACCAGATCGAGACCAGAGTAGGACTGAGACCAGGACCAGACCGAGACCGAGACCGGGACCGGGACCAGACCGAGACCAGAGTAGGACTGAGACCGGGACCAGACCAGGACTGAGACCGGGACCAGACCAGGACTGAAAACGGTTCAGTCCTGGTTCAGTCCTTTATCCGTTTTTTTTTTTTTTTTTTTCATTTTTCATTTAAACACAAAATCAAAAACTGAAAAAACAAATCATTATCTGTTTTTTTTTTTCATTTTGGAGACAAATCATGAAGAAAACAGTTATTTTTTCCGTTTTCTTATTTTTAGTTTTATATTGAAAAACAAATGAACGAATGACACACGGATTCGGCGAGATCATGTGTGTGGATGTTTCTCATCCTCGTGTTTATTTTGATTTTATGTCGATGTAGTTTCCCATCTCTCTCTCTGTGTGTGTGTGTGTGTGTCCGTGTGGTTTGTGTGTTGTGTGTCCGTGTGTGTGTGTTGTGTGTCAGGGGGACAGCGGGGGACCTCTGGCCTGCGAGGACTCGTCGGTGTGGAAGCTCGTCGGCGCCACCTCCTGGGGGATCGGCTGCGCTGACGCCAACAAACCCGGCGTCTACACTCGGATCACACAGAGCCTGAGCTGGATCCGACAGGAGATGGAGGTCAGGACAGTGTTTTTTTTTTATTTTTTATTGCTGTGTAACTTTCTGGTTGGGCGTCCGTCACCGAAATGTCCCGCAGTGTGACTTTAAACAGCTCGACTTTACGTTCATTCAATCACAGGTGGTTTTAAAGCTCAAAAAGACCCAGAAAAACAACATTCTGACTGCGAGCGGGGTCGCCTCTCCACAGATCTGACCTGTAACTTGGCCCGGTTTGGTTTCTGTGGAACGTTCCAGACAAAGTAATAACATCTCCACGGAGAAAAACATCTGACAGAGCTTCAAACACAACAGACTCCAGGCGCTCCAAAGAAGTAAAAAAAAAAAAAAAATTGGACTAGGAAAAATATAGTAAAAGGCCTTTATTAACATGGCCAATAATTAATTAATAAAAAAATAAATAAATAAAATAAATAAATAATAATAAAATAAAATAAATAAAAAATGAAATAAAATAAATAAATAAAATAAATTTAATAAAATAAAAATAAATAAAAAATTAATATAAGTAAATAAATAAAAATAAATAAATAAATAATAATGAGCTTTTAATAAATACATAAATAAATAAAATAATAATAAAATAAATAAATTAAAAAAAAAAATAAATAAAATTAAATAAAAATAAATTAAATAAAAATAAATAAATAAATACAATAAAATTAAATAATAATAATAATAATAATGAGCTTTTAATTAAGCCCTGATGAAGACCAGTTAAGGTCAAACCATGTTGGCTTTGATCTTTTAAATAAAGACATTTTACTATATTTTTCCTCGTGTGATTTTTTTACTTTTTTTTTTTTTTTTACTTCTTTGGAGCACCTGGAGTCCTGTTGTGTTTGAGTTTTGAACCTTTTTCCAAGAGCGCCCTCTACCTGCTCCAACTGACTGGAACATCTGCAGCAAACAGCCACATTTTTCTCACAGACCTTCCTCCAGGAAATTTACACAACACATTTAGTAAACTTAAGGATTAAAAAACAAAAAAAAAAACAAAACGTAGAGCTGCTTGATTATGGAAAAAATCATTATCACGATTATTTTTTAGTTACATGATGCATTTAATCAGCATTTCTCTCTCTCAAAAAAACAAAAAAAACTATGTTATTGATAATTTACGCAAAACTTTCAAATTGAAAATAAATTCAGGCTACAAATCTGAACCTTAGAGCAGTTTTGTGATGTATAAAACATAAAATGAATAAACTTTGAACATGAAATAAGGCACAAAAACATAAAAAATAAACTCTTATAAGTCTATTCTAGTGCAATTAATTGAATTTTTATCGCGATTTTGATTTGTGTGTCAAACGTTCCCTAAACTCATATGATCGAGTTGAAATAATAAAGCTTAACAAAGTTTATTTTGGGATTTTTAAAAATATAAACAAGTAAATTTATTTTATTTGTAAATATAGAGATTGTAGAACAGCTGAATATAGAGTTTATTTTGGACACATTTATGTTTTTTTATGTCATATTTCATGTTCAAAGTTTATTTTATTCATTTTATGTTTTATACATCACAAAACTGCTCTAAGGTTCATGTAGACGAAATTTATTCAATTTGAAAGTTTTGTGTAAATTATCAATAACACGGTGTTGTTTTTGTTTATTTTTATTTTTTTTTTGAGAGAGAGAAATTCTGAATAAATGCATCACGTAACTAAAAAATAATCGTGATTTCAATATTGACCAAAATAATCGCGATAATGATTTTTTCCATAATCGAGCAGCTCTAGTTTTAAAAAATATATTTTTTGGGAAGTACAGGAAAGTTTCCTAAATGGCTACTAAAAAAATCTGTGTATCATTCGTTCATTTGGTTTTCAAAATAAAACCAAAAATAAGAAAATGAAAAAACAACAATTTTCTTCATTAAAACAACAGATAATTATTCTTTTTTTTTTTTTCTTATTCTCAGTTTTAAATTTTGTGTTTAGATGAATAATGGAAAAAACAGATATGACCGGTTCCCGTTTACGTGACCTGGTTCAGTCTGATGCCTGATCTGGTCCTGGTTTAGTCCTGGTCTGGTCCTGGTTTAGTCCTGGTCTGGTCCTGGTTTAGTCCTGGTCTGGTCCTGGTCTGATCCTGGTTTAGTCCTGGTTCAGTCCGGCATTACAGTTATTTTTGGTTTTATTTTGAAAAAAACGAATGAACAAAGGACACACTGATTCTAAAGCTGCATTGTGCAACTTTTCTGGCGGAAGGTCTGTCAAATGCTTTTCCCCGTGGACATGTTATTACATTATCTGGAATGTTCCACAGTGTGACATTAAACCTTTCTGTCTTCACGGAGACCAAACCGGACCGAGTTACAGGTCAGATCTGCGGAGAGGCGACGCCGCTCACGGTCAGAATGTTTGTTTTTCTAGGTATTTTTGAGCTTTAAAACCACCTGCGATTCAGTAAAAGTAAAGTCGAGCTGTTTAAAGTCACACTGCGGAACATATCCACAGAAACAAGCAGGTGAATGTGTTTACTATCCTTTTATTTTTGTTTGTTTTTTTCTTTTAGAGGGAAGAAACGCTCCAGGCCATCACCGCCAACTGAACCGAGTGTTGAGATTTTATACTCCAGAGAAGCGCTGCCCAAAGTGTGCCTAAAACCTCTTTTTTTTTTTAACAATAAAGAAACCGGACAAAGGAGCAGGAGCCGGAGTTAGGCATCATTTATTCCAAAATAGAAAGCTCTAAGGCAAAACAGACGAGAAAAAAGTGAACAACTCTTTTTAAAAACCAAGACGAGTGCGGAGTGACACGTCTGTACACCCCTGAAACCAGTAGGGGGCGCCATATCCACCGTTCAAGTCGGCTTTACAGGAGATACAAACGACGTCGCCGCGAGCCGGACTGTGTGTACATTTACGTTCCACCACTGGGAGGCGCCGTTTGTGCATTGAAAAAGACTTGATTTGTCCCGTTTGCCAAGCGATGCAAACTTAAGTTCATCCCGTGGTGTTTTTTTTTTTTTTTTTTTCCTGTTGTTTTTTTTGGGGGAAGTGATCGTAACAGCGTGCAGCGGAGAGAGTGTCCAGTGGGGGGCGCCGTGTGGGTGATTGAGAACAGCAGAGGGGGGATTGTGCGTCTGGAGAGAGCGAGGTTTGTGAGCACCCGCTGCGGTCCAGTGAAGAAGAAGAAGAAGACGAAGAAGAAGAAGGTGATATACACAAAATGGAAGTAACAACAGTTCACGTGGAAAAAAAACGTCCAAGCGGTAGGAAAGCGGAAATTTGCGAGCGTCGATCCGGTGTCGGAGTTATCTGCAGGAATGAGCCGCCACGAAATGTCAGTAAACGGGAAAAATTCTGAATTAAAACTGCACGTGCGGGCTGTTTTAAAGCTGCACTGTGTAACTTTTCGAGTGGAGTTTTACGTCGAATTTATTCATTTTTACAGATTTGCTAAGTTGTCGAAGTTTCGTCGCATTTCGTACAGTGACGGTAAATCTAAATCTAGCCTAAACGCTTTTCTCCATGTCTGGAATGTTTCACAGTGTGGCTTTAAACCTTAATGTCTTCACGGAGACCAAACCGGACCAAGTTACGGGTCGGATCTGCGGAGAGGCGATGCCACTCAGTCAGAATGTTGTTTGTTTTTGTAGAATTATTTTTTTTTTTCCCCGAGCTTTAATAAAACCATCTGGAATTAATTAAAAGTAAGGTAGAGGTAGATGTTTAATGTCACACTGTGGAACATTCCAGGCAGAGCGATGGCGTATCCATGGAAACAAGAAGGTGAAGGATAATAATTTTAAAACTAGGAATTTCAACGTTCACAATTTACATATCTGAAAAATTATTCTATTTTTGGTAGATAATAAATAGTCACAGAAAACAACAATTCTATAACAAGTAGATTTTGGACTAATAATAATAATAATAATATTTCGTCATGTCCTTGAACGCACCACTTTGATATTCAAGCATGTACAACTTAAACAGAAGTGATGGGTCAACTTTTTATATATAAAAATACAGATACTTAAAATTTCTTTTTTTTTTTTTTTTTTTTTTTTTTTACATTAAATTAAAGGTGCATTATGTAACTTTTCTGGTGGAGGGTCCGTCACCTGCTTGTTTCCACGGATACAGAAACATCGGGTGACTTTTGAGGAGCCACGATGGACGAGCGCGACTGAGATGTTTGTTTTTAATCCATGTGTCAATCGTTCGTTCGTTTGTTTTTCAAAATAAAACCAAAAATAAGAAGATGAAAAAAATTTTAACTATTTTCGTCATTATTCGTCTCCAAAACCGAAAATGAAAAAAAAAAAAAAACAGAAAACGATTTGTTTTTTAAATTTTCGATTTTGTGTTTAAATGAAAAATGGAAAAAATGGATAATGACCGTTTACCGTTTACGTGACTTAAACTGCGATGTCGGACTTTTGCGCCGCATATGGACTGATCCAGGACTGAGACCAGGACTGAGACCCAGACCAGACCAGGACCAGACCGGGACCGAGACCAGACCTGAGATCAGGACCAAAAATGGAAAAAATGGATAACAACCGTTTCCCGTTTCCGTGACTTGAACCGTGATGCCGGACTTTTGCGCCGCATTCGGACTGAACCAGGACTGATCAAGGACTGAGACTGGGACTGAGACCCAGACCAGACCAGGACCAGACCAGGGCTGAGACCAGGACTGAGACCGGGAACAGACCGGGACTGACACTGGGATCTGGTTTAGTCCTGGTTCTGTCCTGATTTAGTCCTGGGATCAGTCCTGGTTCAGTCCAAGTCCTGCTTCTGGTCTCAGTCCCGGTCTGGTCCTGGTCTCAGTCCTGATCCGTCTACGCAGACAAGTCACGAAAACGGTCGTTATTCATTTTTTCCACTTCTTCATTTAAACACAAAATCAAAAACTGAAAAAACTAATCATTATCTGTTTTTTCATTTTGGTTTTGGAGACAAATAATGAAGAAAATTGTTTTTTTTTTTTTCTGTTTTCTTATTTTTGGTTTTACTTTGAAAAACGAATCAACGAATGACACGCGGATTGTTTCTGCACGAGTGAAAACTTTGCAAGCTCCACTAAGAATTTTAATGTACAGTTTTATCTGCAGACTGAACGAATCGGACAATGAAATAATAAAATAATAATAATAATAATACTAATGTCACAAATTTGAGTTCAGTCCAACATGTGGAGACTCTGATGTGGGCGTCTTTTAAAAATATAAGCGTTTGTTGTTTTGTAATGTCACCGTCTTTGTCAGTTTTGTCCGACTAAAGATAAAAACCACGATGAGACGTCTTTGCTCTGCCTGGAATGTTCCGCAGTGTGACATTAAACAGCTCGACTTTACATTTATTTATCCGATCACAGCTGGTTTTAGAGCTCAAAAATTCCTCGAAAAACACTGATTCTGACTGTGAGCGGGGTCGCCTCTCCGCAGATCTGACCTGTAACTTGGTCCGGTTCGGTCTCCGTGAAGATAGAAAGGTTTAATGCCACACTGCGAAACATTCCAGACAAAGCAATAACATCTCCGCGGAGAAAATCATTTGATGGAAAGCTCCACAATGCACCTTTAACCAAATTTAAAAACACTTTGAAACACATTTTTGGCAAAATTTTTTTTAGAGTACATTTTACTAATATTTAACTAATCAGCAGAGTCGTAAATACTTAATTTGTCATTAATTATTATTTATTCAACTCTTATTCATGTGTAATTCCCCTTAAACTTATTCTGCTTTTAGACATTTACACTTTTCACTTTCCTGTTAAAACACTTTTTTTTTTTTACTGCTTATTAATATGATAGTAGATCATTTTTGTCCATGAATTATGATTCTAATAAGCTTTTGGCGCAAATACGTAAAAACTACATTTTTTTGTGGTTCTAAAATCAAAATAAACAAAAATTGCCTAGTATCATCTTAATAAGCAACAAGCAAGAAGTATATTAATAGGATCTGTGTCTTTTTTAAAAAATTTATTTATTTATTGTTTTTAACTATTTTATATTTCTATGTATTGATTTTATTATTTTTATTCATTGATTTTATTATTATTATTTTATTTATTGATTCTATTAGTTTTCTCATGGTTGAAACATAAATCTGCAATTTGTTTTATTTGTTTATTAATTTTTTTTTTTATGTTTTGCATTGCAATGTAAAGCACTTTGGAAACGGTCTTGTTTATAAAATGTGCTATACAAATAAAATTGGATTGGATTGTAGGAAAGTCTAAATGTCTAACTAAAAGCAGAATAAGCTTAAGGGGAATTAGACATTAATAAAAGCTGAATAAACACTAATTAATGACAAATTAAGCATTTACGACTAGAAGGTAGTACGTGTATCCTAAAATAAAGTGTTACCACATTTTTTTTTTTTTATCGCTACTTTATCTGGACTTTAATTTAACATTTGGATCAGCTGAGATGGAGCGAGGATAATTACAGCCTCCACGCGTCAAGGTAAAAATTCTTTAAAAGTAAACGAGGTTCAATCTTTTTTAATACAAAACTCATGAGAATCGTATCAATTTTGCGATACTAATCATAGAATTACTTGGTATCGTATCAAAACTAAAATATTACGCAAGTTTCAGCAATTTATGTACAAAAAATTTAAAAATAATAATTTACAGGTTCTAGTCTAGAGCATAAAAATCAAGGGTTTGCTGGAGAGTTGTAGCAGTTCAAATTAGGCTAAAAACAACAGCTGCCTTTTAGTTTTGATGCGTCTAAGGGGAGGTAAAAAAATAATAAAATAAGGCGAGTGAAAATGTACGAACTTTCACAATGACGTCACGAGGTTTTGAACTCCACGTGTGTTTTTTATTCGACGACGAACCTTGATAAAAAGTGCAATAAAGTTACTCAAAAGTCGTATTAATTTAGAAACAATAGAAACGAAAAGCGGGTAAATTTCCAGACTAAATCCCGGCTCAATCAAGCGCAGCGTTCGTGGCTTTTGCGCGGACCTCCTGCAGATAACGCCGACCGGAAACGCGCCGAAACTCCGCCGTCCCGACCGGCCTGGACCAGTTAGTGTCTTTGACCAGTTCACCTTTTCTTTGTGCTTTTTCCTGGCAACAATTTTCTCTATAAAACAAACCATAAGATAAGGCCTTGTATTAGTCTCGAAGGTTAAAACCAATTTAAATAGCAATTCTCATTAGCATTCAAATTTGTATTTTAGAAAACTTCACAAACCCTGGAAAACAGGGTCACTAGTTTAATTATGAATCTGTACATAAATATTCCTTACAAAACAGAACACAAAATGAAACACTAGTCATGTTGGTATATAAAAATAAGCATCTCTCCACAGTTTTTTCTGGGTGGAGTCAGTCTTGGAGTGCACATCTACTCAAACACAAGCATGCAAACGTGAGGACAAACCCTTACACAAACCACTTTAAGTGTTGGCATCCAAAATGAGACGACGGGCGGGCGGACGGCAGCGGCCAGGGAGAGCCTGCCGACAGGACCTGGAGGAGCCTGTGTTCTCAACACTGCTCCTGCCTGGGCCTGCTTCTTCTTTTCAGCTTAAATATACAAAAAGTGCACTCGTCTACATCAACTAAATACTTAAAAAAAAAAAAAAAAAAAAAAAGGCGTTCTGAAATGTCCTTAGTCTGTGTGCGGAGCGGCCCCATTCAGACCCAGAGTCCAGTGCACTGCCCCTTCACTCAGACTCGGTCCAGTACAGCAACAGGATTACAGGACGTGGCCAAGGCGTGTGAGGCTGCTCTGTCAGACGTCTCAAATCAAATGTCCTCAAGAATAAACTACACAGAGCCTTTCCCAGCGCCATTCATTTATAATTGTGCTCCACAGTAGAGTTTAACCTCTTACAGCTTTGACCTGTGTGAAATCTAAACGGATTAAATGTGCTGGAGCCGACCCACAGAGCCGACATTAGCTCGGTTCTGCGGGTCACAAGTTTCACTCCTACAGCAGAAGCTTCACTAAACGATTCTCTTAAGCGCAGATTGCCCAAAGAGGCCACAGACCAGACCGTGGCTTTGATCAAATGTGTGGGACTGACACAGTGGAGTGAGCACGAAGAGTCCTCTGCTCCAGCTCCACATGTGTACGAGGGGGAGGGTCTGAACAGGGTCTGAACAGGGTCTGAACAGGGTCTGAACAGGGTCTGAACAGGGTCTGAACAGGGTCTGAATGGGCTCGAGTGGACAGTAGGGGGCAGAAGAGGACAGTAGAGGACAGCAGCTCTATTGCAGAGGGTCCTGGTCCAGGCCCAGCCCGGACATGTCGTCATCATCCTCACTGTCCCCTGACTCGTCCTCACTGTGTCCCCCCAGCATCACCTCCCTCACGGCCAGCGTGGCCCCGTCTGACGTCAGGCTCTGCAGACCCTCCATGCTCATCGTCACCATGGTGCCTGTGCACACACAATACACAGTCACTTCTCTTTCAAATACACTTGAGTTTCCATTTTAAAATGTACCCGTTTATTTATTTCCATGTGTATTATTTTAATTTTATAGAATTATAAATATAGATTTAAGTATAAATGATTGTCCCAGTGTTTCAGCTCGAGTGGAAAAGCAGAGTCACTGAACTTTAAGTGCTGTGTGTGATGTAGGATTTTGTTTAAACTGTAAATACGATGTATACAATGGCTTTATTTAAATGTATTATTTTAATAAGTTTATTTAAAATAAATATTTATTTACAAGAATTGTGTTTGTGAGCAGTTTTTGCTTGTAAACGAGTCAGTGTGTCCCTCCATTCATCCAGAAGTGCTCCAAGGTGGAAGAGCAGTTTCACAGGTCGTTCATCTGGACAATGTTTTTGAAATCGAGTCATTTCAGCTGCCATTTGGAAATCATTCTGAATCTGAAGTTGCAGAGCTCCTGAGTCCTCCTCGAGGGATTTGGACAGACCTGAACAACCTCGGGACTGTGGACAGTTCTAGTCTCAGTTCAGTACCTCCAGACTGAAAAGGACGTCCACATGACGACCTCTGAGACCTTTCAGAGTTCAGTTTACAGTAGACACACTACTCCACATTTACAGATGATAGTGATAGTGTGAGTGTGTGTGTGTGTGTGCGCGTGCGCTCGTACCGTCTGGCATGGTGACCTGCTGTGTGGGTCCTCCTGCGATGGAGTCGGGCCAGAAGCGCTGCAGCGGTCTGTTCTGAGGAGTCTTCTTCTTGGTTTTGGGCGTCTCGGAGGAGCTGGCGTCTAACATGGGCTGCAGGATCCGCCTCCGTGCGTTTATGAACCTGCACCAGTCACACTTTAGTTTGGCGAGTCTGATCTTTGACCTTTGACCTTTGAGGAAACGGGCGCTCACCAGTTGTTGACCTGCAGGAGCGTCAGGTTGGTCTGGGACGCGATCTGCTTCTTCTCGTCCTCTGTGGGGTAAGGGTGCTGCAGACACACACAGGCTCAGCTCCAGGGACGCAACAAAATCCAAATCTCTATTTACTGTGATATTTTATAGAGGCTAACAACTGATGAACATTCCACCATAGAGACACATGCAGAACACCCCCAGCGCGATGTCACTGAAAATATGCTGTTTAAAACCATTTAGTATTTTTTGCTTTGTCAAAATGTTTTAAGACCGTCTGAAAATGGTGTTTACTAATACGTACAATCCGTGTGTCATTTGTTCATTTGTTTTAAAAAAAAGAAAAAAAAGAAAACTTTCTTCATTATTTGTCTCCAAAACCAAAAAAAAACAAACAAAAAAACATACTTCGCTTTTTCAGTTATGGATTTTGTGTTTAGGTAAAGAAAATGGACTTGTATTTGCTGGACTTTTGCCTCACATACGGTCTAACCCCGGACTCGGCCCCGGACTCGGCCCCGGACTCGGCCCCGGACTCGGCCCCGGACTCGGCCCCGGACTCGGCCCCGGACTCGGCCCCGGACTCGGCCCCGGACTCGGCCCCGGACTCGGCCCCGGACTGAGTCTCAGTCTCAGTCCCGGTCCTGGTTTCTGTCCCAGTCAGAGTCTCAGTCTGAGACTCGGTCCCAGTCCCGGTCCAAGCCCCAGACCCGGTCCCGGTCCCAGCCCTGTTCCCAAAACTGAGTCCTGGTTCAGTCCGGCATCGTAGTTTAAGTCACGTAAATGGGAAACGGCCGTTATCCCTTTTTTTCCATTTTTCAATTAAACACAAAACTGAAAACTGAAAAAATAAAACATTATCTGTTTTTTCCATTTTGGTTTTGGAAACAAATATTGAAGAAAATATATATATATATTTTTTTTCATTTTCTTATTTTTTTTTACTTGACTTAACTATTTTCTTCATTTTCTTTCCATTATATTTTCTTATTTTTAGCTTATTTTTGAAAGAATGATACACGGATTGTGTACGTTGTGTCTCCACTATAATTGCTGAACATTCCACCATAGACACACATGCAGAAGCCCCCCACGTGAAAGCAGCATATTCACTATTTTGTTCACCTCCACAAAATATTGTAATCAGTATCGTACCGCGAGCTGCACACCTTGAAAGTATCGCACGGAGAGATTCGGACATCGTCACGTCCCTAATCGTAACCGCCGCACATTCCACCATAGACATACAAGCAGAGCACCCCCAGCAAGGTGCCGGATACTCACTCCGATGTGCTGGAAGAGCCACGAGCGCATGACGTTGGTGGCGTGTTTGGGCAGGACGCCGCGCTTGTTCTTGGAGGAGCTGTCGTCGTGATTGAAGAGGTTCATGTCCTGGTGGAACTGGAGCTGGAGCTACGGAAACGAAAACCAACCAGAGTCAAGTTTGAGATCCACAAATGACACCGGATTAAATAGCGGTTTAACGAAGAAAAAGTGATAATATCGTGTAGAATCGTGTGGACTCGTGTGGAATCGTGAGGCACCCCGAGTTTCTGTCAGTGAGCGTGTGTGTGTGTGCGGTGAGTTACCTGATTGTTTTGGACGCGTATGGTTCCGGGGGACAGGGCCTGTGTGACCACCTGACCCTGAGGAGTAACCACGGTGACGGGCTGGTACACGGTGCCTCCTGCAAACACACAAACACACAAACAGACGCACACAGAGGACATGATGAGAGGCTGTAGACTAGAGGCTGTACGCAGGGGTGTAGTGGGAGTGGCACGCAGGGGTTCGCCGTCCACCCACTTCTCCAGACGTGAGATATAAAAAAAATAACAAATATGAAATAGTTACAACTTAAATGTCAAACCGGAGCTACTGGCAATAATGAAAACAAACTGCATACGCTCATGATGTCTGCACTACTGTCCTATAGTGACCTGAACCAGGACCGAACCAGGACCGAACCAGGACCGAACCAGGACTGAACCAGGACTGAACCAGGTCTGGACGGGCACGAAGGTGCGCCTGCGTAGACAATCGGTGACCGTGGGCAAAAGGACCGGTGCAGAGCTCCGCATCCCGTGGGGCCAAGAGCAGCCGTCACACGATTGTGCTTTGCGGACACCGTGCTCCACGGGCTTGGGGTTCTCCCTCTCTCTCAAGTCCAAGATTAGTCCTGGTTTAGACCTGGTTTAGATGTGGTTCAGACCTGGTTCAGTCCTGGTTTAGACCTGGTTAATGTGTTGTAGTCTATGATTTATGTTCTGTAGGTGATTACGAACAGTGTTAATAAATATGTAAATAAAATGATTCCGCTTCATTTTGAGTAAAAATGACCTGGCGCTTTTCTGTTTGTACTGAATAGTGAAGGGGGGGTGTACCCCCACTTAAAAAAATCCCCACTACACCACTGGCTGTAGGCTATAGAGTATAGGCTGTAGAGCAGACATGTCAAACTCAGGCCCAGGGGCCAAATTTGGCCCACGAGATCATATCAAATATGTATTAACCACCAGCTACAGCTATAGAGACATTATTTATTTAAAATTTTGTCATTTTATATTATGCTTGTTGTATGCTGAATTCAATGTTTAAGCAAAACTATTATTAAACATTTATTTTAATAAGAAAAGGTTTATTACATATCTCGAAAGAAGAGAAAACATGCAGATGTTATTGAGATTTTTCAATAAATATTTTGTTTGGCCCACGACTTAGTCCCAGTTTTTAATTTTTGCCTCTGTGAATTTGAGTTTGACTCTCCTGCTGGAGAGTGTGGACAGTAGAGAAGGGGTCTACAACCTTTTTCCTCTGGCGAGATACTTTCATGAAACAAAAATGCCAGAGAGCTACTCATTTTAGCGGGTTCAAGAAATTAAAAATGTAGAAGAGCTATGGCGAGCTTTAGATGGGGTACAGTTAGATGCTTATTAAACATAAACCATTATCCATTTATTAGTCAGACATGAAAATGACACATTTACAGTGGAAATAAATCTGATGTTAGTTATTACATGCATTACATACAATTCAGAAATTCTTTAGTGGCCTACTTGGAAGAGAGTGGAGAGATACTGACTGCTCCTGATCTACAGGCTGGAAATCCCTGCTATAGAGTACAGGCTGTAGACTATAGAGTACAGGCTGTAGACTATAGAGTACAGGCTGTAGACTATAGAGTACAGGCTGTAGACTATAGAGTACAGGCTGTAGACTATAGAGTACAGGCTGTAGACTATAGAGTACAGGCTGTAGACTATAGAGTACAGGCTGTAGACTATAGAGTATTAGGTTGTAGACTATAGAGTATTAGGTTGTAGACTATAGAGTATTAGGTTGTAGACTATAGAGTATTAGGCTGTAGACTATAGAGTACAGGCTGTAGACTATAGAGTATTAGGCTGTAGACTATAGAGTACAGGCTGTAGACTATAGAGTACAGGCTGTAGACTATAGAGTATTAGGTTGTAGACTATAGACCAGGGGTGCTCACACTTTTTCATCATGCGAGCTACTTACAAAATGACCAAGTCAAAATGATCTACCTAATACAAAGCCAAGCAAACTTCACTGAAACACTCTGTGGCCCTTTTTTGGACCCTCCCCCACAGTTTGAGAACCTCTTCTTTAAGAGAACTTCCTCTGGCACTTTACACAAAACTGTGAAAAAAGTGAAGGAAGATTTTTAAACCTGTTTTTTAAAGTTCCAAACTGGAGTTGCATTCTTTTCTGGTTTTGCAGTGATATTTACCAGCCTCTGCACGTTTACCAAACCAAACGCACATCGTGACAAACACAGATGCATTTGTCACTTTTGTTAAACAAACTTCAGCCAAATGTGGCAGTAGGTCTGTTCTGTAGATCCGCTTTATGCTGTAGACCTGCTTTGTGCCAACACTGGAACACAAATTTAGACTGGTTTTTGCTTCACGTTTGGTCTTGTTCTTCTAATCAGCCGCACTGTGGGAGGGGCTTGTGTTCGCTGTACGCAGGAAGGAGCGAGAGCGTGAAAAGGTGAGGGGCGGCGTGCTGACGTGAGGCAGATGGACAGGTAGGATGTTTAGGAAGTTGAACCTGCCCTGTGTGATGCACGCTGGTACACGAGGACACACGCTGTCGCAGACGAGCCGTGCATAGGGAGCGTGTGTGTTTGTGATGCGCCGTAGAGTCTCCGCGGGTTTCAAATGAGCGCACAGGCTGCACTGAGACGCCCCACACGCTCCTGCACCCGCTACAAGTTTATTACCAACAGCAGCGGCCGGAATGAAATATGATCGCACTTGTTGAGTGTCAGACCTCGAGTGAGAGACAAGACCGAGTCCAAACGCGAGTCTGAGACGAGACACGGCGATCTACCCACACCACCTTGGCAATCGACGTATTGAGCACCCCTGGAGTACAGGCTGTAGACTATAGAGTACAGGCTGTAGACTATAGAGTACAGGCTGTAGACAGTACCCTTCTGAGTATAGTCTGTAGAGTTTAGGAGAAGAGACCCACCTGCCACCACCTGTGTGGGGTTGACTGCTGTCACTGTGACGTTGCCCTGCTGCAGCGCTGAGGCCGGGACCACGATCTGTCCCTGAGGACTGAGGGCCCCCAGAGAGTTGGACGTCTGAGGGACACACAAGAATAATCAGGATGTTTGCTTTATTGTAGGCTGACCCATGCTCTAGCCCATAATCATTTCCTTTGTGGGAGATATGTACATTTACCACGGGCTGGTTTTAAAAGACGGTCACCAACCCAGAGGTTGGCAGTCAGATCCCCACTATTGTTGTTGCCAATTTTACATTATTATATTATTTTTCCTTTGGCAAGACACTCCACACTCCTGGATTGTCTCATTGATGTTAGAGTGACAGTGATTGGTTGGCTTATTGCAGTGCTTCTCAAATAGTGGGGCGCCCCCGTCAAGGGGGCGCGTTTGACCTCGGCGAACATGCTTTTTTATTTTTTTATTTAGATTTTTTTTTTACTGTCTTAAGGGCCGTTCACACCAAAGCGTCAAAAAACGCCTTGACGCCTCTATTTGGAGCCTTTGCATTTGAGTTTAGACGCCCCCGACGCGCGTCTTTGACGCCGTGGACGAACGGGACAAAAATACTTGACGCGCGTCCGTTGCCCTGGAAACAAGAGCCCGGTCCCGCTCTTTTCCCGAAACAATGTCAGACCAGACTGAGAGAGTGTTTTTATGACATAAAACATCAACGGAGGAGATCGGGTCGACGACTGGGGCGTATATATATTTATACTCCGCTAATGACACTGGATCAGTCCCGGTCTCGTCCTGGTCTAATCCCGGTCTAGTCGTGGTTTAATCACGGTCTAGTCCTGGTCTAATCACGGTCTAGTCTCGGTCTAGTCCTTGTTTAGTCCTGGTCTAGTCCTGGTTTAGTCCTGGTCCGGTCCTGGTGTAGTCCTCGCGATCGGCTCGGTGATTGTGGCGTATATATTTATTCTCCGCTCATGTTTGTGGTTCTCGTTCTGGTTCTCGGGTCTTTCTTCCTGATAATAACGTAGCTGCGTCTCTGGATACTCGTCCCTGATTGGTCGACGCGGTGCGTCTGACGCGAAAAGTTCAGCATTTTCAACTTCTTGACGCTGACGCCTTGGACGCGCGTCTTGGCCGCTGACGCCAAAACGCTGAAGACGCGCCGCGCTGACGCCAGATTCGCGCCGCGCTGACGCCGAAAACGCGCCGCAAAAACGCAGGACGCACTAGTCGCGCGTCCACATAGACTTTACATAGAAAGTGGACGCTTTGACGCTTTGGTCTGAACGGGCCTTTGAATAAAGTGCAATTGCACTTCACTACATTAGGGGCAGTGGCGCTCTCATTGGCAAGTTGTGCGCAGGGAGCATTCGCTCGGTGGTGTAGGAGTTTTGTTTGCACTGAGCATGCGCGCTTTGCACACAGCACAGAGTTTGAGTATGAAGTTAGACACGAAGTGTAGCAGACCCTCAAGTGACACCATGAAAACATATTTAACAGGGATGAGAAGACAGGTGGAGAGAGACGGAGATTAAAGAGACAAACGAAAATCTCCCGAAAGCTAAGACGAGGAAATATGACGAAGCGTATGTAGCGCTTGGCTTCACTGTGACTACGGTGGGAGACGAGGAAAGACCGGTGTGCTTACTGTGTCTAAAAATGTTGGCAGCGGACAGCATGAAGCCCAATAAATTAAGGCGTCACTTAAATACATTACACCCCGATTCACTCTGATAAGCCGCTTGAGATTTTTCAGCGAAAACGTGCCGAATATTGCCGACATCATCCCGCTTTGTGACTGCTACTCAGTAAACCAGCGAGCGTTGTTGGCGTCATATAAGGTGGCAGTGTTACGCACAGGTGTACTTATAACAATTTTATAGACAAATGATACTATCTATAGTCACGCGGGGGGGCGCGAGATGTTTTATTCGTCCTAGGGGGGGCATGACAGAAAATAATTGAGAAGCACTGGCTTATTGGCACATGATATGATGCAATGTGTAGAGTAGAAATGTCTTGTACCGTATTTTCCGGGCTATTAGTCGCTCTGGATTATAAAGCGCACTGTCATTAAATGATCTATTTTCGAACTTTTTTTCCACAAATAAACCACATGGGAGTTTAAAGGAAACCCAACAGTGTGATGGGTGAGTGGTTCTGTTTGTTTGTTCGTTCACGGTGACTCTGGGCTTTGTTCAGTTGTGGCGTGTAGGGAGGGTGTGTCTGGGACCAACGGATTGTCGGCGTGTTCGCAGTGACTCAGTTGTTCAGTCGTGTCTAGAAGTGGCACATTGCGCTTGCTTTTTCGGTTCGTTCCTCCTTTCCGTTGGTCGTCGGCGTGGAGTGATGAGTGTGTCTGTGGGTGTGTTTCGCTGTGCGGTCGCTGTCTGCTCCGTGTGTATTTATGTGTTCTGTGGGTGGTGCGGCTTTGTAGTTTACTGAGCAGTAGTCGTGCTGGGACACCCGAGTGGATTCGTGTATGGGGCGCTCTGGATTGCGGGGCGCGTGGTCGTTTTTTGATGGGTTTGGAGGCTTAAAGGGCCGTTCACACCAAGGCGTCAAAGCGTCCAGTTTCTATGTAAAGTCTCTGTGGACGTGCGACTAGAGCGTCCTGCGTTTTTGCGGTGCGTCTTCGGCGTCAGTGCGGCGCGTCAACCAATCAGGGACGAGTATCCAGTGACGGAGCGACGTTATTATCAGGAAGAACGACCCGAGAACCAGAGCGAGAGTCACAGCCATGAGCGGAGAATAAATATATACGGCACAATCACAGAGCTGATCGCGAGGACTACACCAGGACTAGACCAGGACCGGACCAGGACTAGACCGGGATTAAACAGGGACTAGACCGGGACTAGACCGGGACTAGACCGGGACTAGACCGGGACTGATCCAGTGTCATTAGCGGAGTACAAATATATATACGCTCCAGTCGTCGTCCCGATCTCCTCCGCTGATGTTTTATGTCATAAAAACACTATCAGTCTGGTCTGACATTGTTTCGGGAAAAGAGTGGGACCGGGCTCATGTTTCCAGGGCAACGGACGGCGTCAAAGATGCACGTCGGGGCGTCTAAACTCAAATGCCAAGGCGTCCAAATAGAGACGTCAAGGCGTTTTTTTACGCTTTGGTGTGAACTAGGGATGGGCATGATTAGTCGATTAATCGATAATTGATCATTAAGAATTTCATTGATTACGTTCATTTTAATCGACAAACCGAATGTAGATGATAGAGACATGTACAGGCAGCAGTGTAAGCTTTATGGCCAGGCCAATATGCTTGTCCGTAAGTTCTCTATGTGCTCCAGTGATGTCAAAATTGCACTTTTTAAATGTTTTTGCTCACCTTTGTATACTGCGCATCTTTGGCGTAACTATAAGAAAAAGAGTTTGCAGAGTTTGACAGTGGCGTATAACGACTCTTTGAGAATATTACAGAAAGTGCCGAGGTTCTGTAGCGCCAGTGAATTGTTTGTAAATTGTGATGTGAGACCCTGTGCTGTCATAATCAGGTGTTGTATTTATTCATTTATGTGTAGAGCCGTGAATCTGAGTAATCAAATCATTGAAGCTCTAGTGTGTCCTGTGAGGAGCTCTGTCAGATTCACCTCTAAGCTGTGGAGACACTGGCGCTCTTGTCTGTATACGTTATAACATGCACTGTATTTAACTTTTTATTCTTACTATTGTTTTTTTTTTTTATACTATGAACCAGATATCATGTGTTCTTAATAAAGATTCAATTGAATTGAATTGAATTGTAGGTTGCTGTGCGTAGTGTGACCAAACAGGTGTGTACATGTGTCTCTGCATCAGAAGGAGCAAGACACAAACAGTGGGTCAGTCTGCAACGTACCAAAGCACAAATGTGGATTTAACGATGATTTGTACAAGAAATTCCACGCTTTCCGTTGTGTTCGGGACAAGTGTGAGTCCATGTGCACAGTGTATAAAGCAGCACATATGTTTCTGTGTCCAGTGGGAAAAAGTTTTTCCAGGTGAGAGTCGCTCAATGTGGATGACGAGGCCCCGCCCCCCTCCCCCTGTACGGTGTCCTGGTTTTGACAAACGCAAATATAGTCACACTAACCTGTATTCACCTGAGTCATGTTTTTAATCTGACAGAAATTGAACCACATCAGCGACACAAAAGCTGTAGTTTTATCTTCGCTTAGTTTATGCAAATTAGCGACGCGGTTTTAAGTTTCGTTTCTGTGAGATTTGAACAAAACTGAATTAAACACATTATAATGTCAAACGGGCTGATGTGGCTCTAGAGTCGTTACGGTTTATATGTCGTAAAGTTGAATTTATTTATGCAGATTAGTAGTGCAGATAGTAATAATAATGATGATCATTTTAATATAAAAACGTTAATGATTAATCCATAATCGATCGTTAATTCTTCCGACGATCGATTAAGAAAATTTCATCGAATGCCCGTCCCTTAAGAGCGCGTCTAATAGCCCGGAAAATACAGTAAGTTCAATCATATATTGTTGTATTATTATTGCTGTTTGTTCTGAACTCTGTGTGTTCCTTCAGTCTTTTACAAACGTTGCCTGAAGTTACATAGATCATCCTCTGTGGGGGTCGTACCGGGGTCTTGGTGGGGGAGAAGCCCTGGGCCTGTCCGGGCACAGGGGAGTAGGGGCTGCCGGGCTCTCCGCTCAGCAGCGTCTCACTGTTCATCTTGGTCTTCAGACAGGCGATGTAGCGGCTGCAGAAGTCTTTACACAAGTCACTGACCTTCTCCAGCTCCAGCAGGTGGATCCTCAGCACCTGGATGGCCTTCACCATCTGAAGCACAAGAGCAGGCAGGGTGAACTTCAGGGTACAAACAAGAGGGACGTTTCTAGATTTACTAGAAGACTACAAAGTCCAGACTCTGCTTTGTCCATGTTTTGATATGTGGCTCCTGATAAAACGTTGGACTCTCCTGACAGTTAAATAAAAGTGAAATAAATCTGTCTATCATTCGTTCAATCGTTTTTCAATATAAAACCAAAAATAAGAAAACAAAAAAACAACAATTTTCTTCATTGTTTGTCTCCAAATCCAAAATGAAAAAAAACAGATAATGATTTGTTTTTTCAGTTTTCGATTTTGTGTTTAAATGAAAAATGGAAAAAACAGATAACGACCGTTTCCCGTTTACGTGAATCAGGACTGAACCAGGTCTGAACCAGGTCTGAACCAGGTCTGAACCAGGTCTGAACCAGGACTGAACCAGGACTGAACCAGGTCTGAACCAGGACTAAACCAGGACTAAACCAGGTCTGAACCAGGTCTGAACCAGGTCTGAACCAGGTCTGAACCAGGACTGAACCAGGACTGAACCAGGTCTGAACCAGGACTAAACCAGGACTGAACCAGGACTGAACCAGGTCTGAACCAGGTCTGAACCAGGTCTGAACCAGGACTGAACCAGGACTAAACCAGGACTGAACCAGGTCTGAACCAGGACTAAACCAGGACTGAACCAGGACTGAACCAGGACTGAACCAGGACTGAACCAGGTCTGAACCAGGTCTGAACCAGGACTAAACCAGGTCTGAACCAGGTCTGAACCAGGTCTGAACCAGGACTGAACCAGGACTGAACCAGGTCTGAACCAGGTCTGAACCAGGTCTGAACCAGGACTGAACCAGGACTGAACCAGGACTGAACCAGGATTGAACCAGGACTGAACCAGGACTGAACCAGGACTGAACCAGGAATGGAACCAGACTGAACCAGGACTGAACCAGGACTGAACCAGGACTAAACCAGGACTAAACCAGGACTGAACCAGGACTGAACCACATCTGAACCAGGACTGAACCAGGTCTGAACGAGGTCTGAACCAGGTCTGAACCAGGACTGAACCAGGACTGAACCAGGACTGAACCAGACTGAACCAGGACTGAACCAGGTCTGAACCAGGTCTGAACCAGGACTGAACCAGGACTGAACCAGGTCTGAACCAGGTCTGAACCAGGACCGAACCAGGAGTAAACAAGGACTGAATCAGTTCCGGGACTAGACAAGAACCAGACCGGGACTGAGACCGGAACCAGACCAGAACTGAAAACATTTTAGTCCTGTTTTTGTCCTGTTTTAGTCCTGGTTCTGTCCTGGTTCAGTCCGTTGTCCGTTTTTTCCATTCTTCATTTAAACACAAAATTGAAAACTGAAAAAAAACGAATCATTATCTGTTTTTTCATTTTGATTTTGGAGACAAATAACGAAGAAAACTGTTGTTTTTCGTTTTCTTATTTTTCGTTTTATATTGAAAAACAAATAAATGAATGACACACGGATTGAAATAAACAAGTAATTTAAGTTTGGGACTAGTTCTTTCCCAATAATGGAATGGAATAGTGGAATTACAAAAACATACTCCATTACAAGTCAAAAGTCAACATGTATGTATGAAAAAATACTCCTCAAAGTACTTATTTTAAACAAATTTATATTTTTTAAGTTTGTGAATCCGCTGCACTCAGCTGATGTGGGGTCAGGGGCTACATTAGAGCGTGGGTGTGAAATGCCTCAGGACGGTCACGCGGTCACAGCAGAACTTCTCACCAGGTTGTCCAGCTCGGGGTCCTCGCTGAAGAAGGGCTTGCCCTCCTTCTCCTGGTTCCTCACGAAGTTCTCGATGTCCACGTCAAAGCTGGCCGACGTGATGCAGTCCGAGCTCATGGTGGACTGCTCGCACTTCTCAAACAGCAGGGCCAGCAGCGGGAACAGAGGGTGTCTGTGGGGACAAGGACTCGCATCAAAACGGAATCCAACAAATGCTAACGTGGGCAAACCTCCTCATCAAAGCCTGATTTTGTCACATCTCGGGAGCTAAGAAGGCCCGGGCCTGGTCAATACCACTGGGAAAATCAGGTGGCACAGTGGGGCACCAGTGGCAAAAACTGTTATGTCCATAAACTGTATATATAAATGGACATAGTTAACGTACAAGTTGGAAATAGGAAGTTCTAATGCGGCTTCTGACCCTGGCTCCCATTGACTTATATTAAAATATTGTGGTCCCTCTCTGTAACTGCTGCTGCCAGCCTCGTCATTTTGGTCTTAAAATGTTCATCTTAACCTGCTCTACATGACCCTAGTGAGTTTTTTTTGTCCGTCAAAAAAGTGGGAGTCGGAAGAAAATCGAACGCAGGGAGAGTTTGACTGGAGCCGAACGCTGCGGGTGACGTCACAGTGGCTTAGTCCACTTCTTTATACAGTCTGTGGTTGTGTCCTTCGGCGTCACCCACACTGCCAAGTATGAAAGTGGAGTGAGGGTTGGTGGTGGTCGGAGATTGCCAGCCTCACTTCCGTCCGTCTGTCCCAGGGCAACTGTGGCTACAATAGTCTCTTACCACGCTAGGTGTAGAATACATGAATAATGCTCTTTGAAAAGTGGATGAAAAAACACTGCATAAAACTAATGCATTATTAAGCAGTGTGCCTTCAAACTTTTTTTGTCACTTCATGCTACAAACATGTTGTGGTTTATGACATGAGCTCAACTACACCTGTGGCTGTTATTCACATTATATTAAACTTAAAGATGCAGTGTGTAAATATTCCAGCGGAGGGTCTGTCACCTGCTTATGTCCATCATATAGGCGAGTTTCACTGTTGACAAAAGCGTGCGTTGCATGTTGGGAATTATTTTGGTCGGCGGCAAAAAACACTAATTCAACATGACGGACAGAGCGAGAAAGCACGTAAAGAGTATTGATCCCGGTTATTTATCCACTCTAACGGCAGAGGACCCAAGATCATTTGACCAGAAATTGGTCATAAGCATCGACGGACGCCACATCACCCTTTTCAACCCCGACAAAAGGTGGACCAAACCAAATTTCTGGTCAGAATCACCAACTACCTGGACAAATATTCACTTCAGCGATATCCACAATGACTTGGTGGAAACTCCTGGGCCATTCACAGCAGAAAAGATGAAAACCTCCAAGAGTCTCGATGTGTTGTTGAACTTGTTGGAGTCCACGGTTTGTTAGGATCTTCTACGTTTGCTCTGCGAATGTTTGAAAGTCGTTTAATTCACCGTTAGCAGTTCTTTTCACTCGGAATACGAAAAAGACATTTTCCTTCTTCCGTGCTTCTATTCGTGCATCCGATAATGCAGCAGGAATTTACCATTATCGGGGAGAAATACGCAAGGTTACGCACTGTGTTTGACGCTACCGTGTTTCTTGCCTCCGACCAAAATATTTCCCAGCAGCAACGCGGGCTTTTAATAACAATGACGTCAGCTGAAACTCTCCTATTATTTTGCTCGTTTTCCAGTGGTGACGCCTCCAGGTCATGCACAGGTCGGGGTCTCGTTTACAATGCGTGCAAATCTTGTGAGATTTTCCCCATGTTTTTACATTTGGATTGGACAAAAAAGTTTAAGCGCTGGCAAGTTACATTTCTTGAGAAGCTGTAGTTCCAAAAAAAAGTTCCACAATGACAGCAGAAATATTAAACATAAACCATTAAATATGAGGCTAAAACTGAGAACTGAATCACAATATGTATTTATTATAAATGATGTTAAAATCTCATCTTGTCTGGTGGAAGTTGTGTCTTGTAAACTTTAGATAAGAATTCCAAGTTTATAAATGAGACTCACAAGTGTGTGGAGAGGTGCCTCGCTCACAGAATGCAAGTGGAATGGCTCTTTTTTCAATGGTAAGTGAAAAATGTTTTAATGTTTCACTGTGGAACATTCCGGGCAAAGAAATAGCATGAAAAATAAAACCAAAAACTGATCTTGACCCGAAAAAGTCAAATTGTGAACCGTTTACCATATTCTTTGGATTATAAGGCGCAATATCAATAATGTTGAATTTTCTCATCTATTTTAAATGGAAAGTGAATTTGCTACTGTGTCCCTGATGCACTGTGGTTTGTATGTACGGTGTCTGTCTTTCTTTTTCTGTTATTATTTATAGATTGTGCGCAACCAGAGCTGTGCAAACTGAATTACCCTTTGGGATTAATAAAGTTGTTGATTGATTGATAAGTAACACTCGATTATAAGGAGCATTAAGTGAAACAAACGAACGACACTTGAGACTGATCCTTAGTCCAGGCGTCCAGGATCCATCGGCAGATCGTGGTGTAATTCTCCCGGCGTTGCCTCGTCTTGGCGAATGTGGATTATGAATGTGAATGTGGGTGGATCATTTATTTAACTTTGTTTTTCATTTCCTATGAGGACGACTCAAATATACATTGAGTAATAATGTGTTTAATGCAGCTTTGACGCATTTGTTTACATTTTACAGAAACTAAACTGAACTGAAACTGAACTGAAAAAATAACAGCTCGCTCCTTTATTCTGCGAGGCTCCTAACCATGTTCGTCGTAATGCTCCGACAATCCATCCAACGGTGCGGCTTCGTAGTTTACCAAAGTCGTACTAAAACATTTTGACAGATTTTTGAGCACCGTCTACCAAATAAAATCGATTCCAGGCCAGTAAACGCAACCAGAATTAACACATAAGGCGCACTGTTGATTTTTTGAGAACATTTGAGACTTTAAGTGCGCCTTATAGTCCGAAAAATACGGTATATTTTTATGGATTCCCTTGAAAAAATAAACTTATCAGCATCAGACGTCAAGAGCTGCTTCTATAGTTTATCTGTAATGGGGCGAGGTCGAGTCTGTTACCTGTAGATGGAGGCTTTGTCTGCGTCCATGGGGCTCTGTGGTTCTGTGTTGGGACTGTGGTCATCAGACAGTGTCCCCTCCATGAACTTCTGATCAGACTCACTGTCCACCTTCACACCGCCCTGCATCTGCAAGCGCACACACAATATATATATTAAACAAACATACGCACAATTTCATCAAAACTATAGCAGAGGTTGAGGATTTCTTGAATGGTGGTAGTGGGTGAAACTGCAACCATGACTGAAAAAAAATAAAAAATTCAATGATATTTTCCATAAAGAATGAAGATACTTTTGCATGAGGGTAAAAAACAGCCATGCCACAACTCCACAACTACCAAACTCAGAGTCTTTGTTGTGATATTTTACTATACCAGCGTATCCCCAGGTTTGACTACACCAAATTTAAGACCTTTGTAAGACCACTTAAATGAAAATTAAGACCAACATTGCACTCATTATGCGGTCGAAAAAAAACAGATCTAATTCTAATAATGACAGACCAACTACTATATTTAGGACATGGGCGCCCACAACTTTTCAGCAAGTGAGCGACTTATAAAATGAGCAAGTCAAAATGGGTTAGGTCGCTTTGTTCGTACCCGTAGGTAAAGTTGCTTTGCAGATTTGAGAGGCAGGTTCCACATTTTTCACATTTCATTCATCCACAAAACGTATAAAAACACAATTACAAAATGAAGTGTTACAGAGCTGCAGTGCAGAACGGTTTGTTCCATAAACAATGAGTTAAATTCATCCATCACGCTTGGCTAAAATCACAATAAATATTAAATATGTTAAAAACACACAATCTTAGATAAACAGATTACAATTTATTCATAAGTACGAAAGCAGCCAGAACGAAGCTCCTTTTAAACTGATTCGTTCTAGATCTTGGGACTAAAAGCCTCAGACCAGAAGGAAGCAGCTGAAACTCCGAGTTTAGTGAATGTTGCACGTCTTTTAAAATCCTCTGGGACGTTGTCTGTAAGTGTCTCGAGTACAGAGAGTCCAGGCGGCTCTGAGGATGGAGAATCACCGAACTCGTCCATTTAACCGACTGATTCAGGGAGTTCTTGTTTTTAGCAGAGACGTTCCCAAACCACGAGACCAACAAAAACCTTAAAACTGATTCCATAAATGTTTTATAAAACAGTGTCATCATGGTTCTGTCTACACGGTAAAAGGAAAACTTTCTCAGACAATGAAGGCGCTGGTGGCCTCTTTTACCCACAGCAGAACAATTATCGTCAAAACTCAATTTTGAATCTATGAGTGTTCCAAGATACTTACATGAGTCCACACACTCAACTGACTGCCCCTTTACCTCTGGCTGCGTTCAGACTGCAGCCTGAAGTGATCCAAATCCGATTTTTGGCCCCTATGTGACCTGTATCTGATCTTTTAATGACAGTCTGAACGACACAGATCCGATTTTTTCAAATGTGACCCAGGACACTTGGATATGTGCTCCTGAAACTGATACATATCTGATCTTTTGACATGCGACTTCAGTCTGAACGGTCAAAGTGCATTCATCCACCTACACGTTATCAACAAGACACAAACATCACTATTCTGCGCTGAAGTTGGCGAAAATTGTTAATGAACTCCGTGTCACTGAAGTGAAGCACATCACCACTCACCACTCTTGGCTCCGTCTCCACATCCACACGTTCCTTTCAACGGACTGAACCACAAACCGCCACGACCAAAAACCTCGTCCTTCTCCTTCTGGCTCCGGTACGAGAGGAACTTTAAAATCTCCAGGTGCTCGATGCTGCGTCCATGTTTGGACAACTTCTGTAAACACAGAGTACGCTCGCAGCGGTTGACGTCGTCGTGTCTCCAGTGCACATGTGGGACACTTTTGGGCCGTTTAATGTTCACACTGGAGACACATACAAGTCACATTTAACTGTAAATGTGAACGACCTCGCAAAAACATCGGATTTCACAAAAACATCGGAATTGAGCGTTAAGCCCTGCAGTCTGAACGTAGCCTCTGTGACGTCACACTGAGGCGCTCGCTTTCGAAAATCATTAATCATATCCTTCGTTTTGGATACATTTCGGTGTAGATACGACTCTTCGCACTATTTTACAAAGTCCTCAACAACTGGCCCATGTTGGTTTTCATTTTGTGGAATGATCTACCGACTACAAAGCCAAACAAACTGTACTGCACTGAAACACTCTGCGCCTCTTTTTTTTTGGACCCTCAGCCACGGTTTGAGAACCCCTTCTTAAAAAGAACCTCCACCGGCACTTTACAGAAAAGTGGGTCAGATTTTTAAACCTGTTTTTTCCAAGTTCCTAACTATTCTCTTCCTGGTTTTGGAGTGGGATTCAGCCTCTGCACATTTCCCGAACCAAACGCACATTGTGACAAACACAGATGCATTTGTGTACTTTTATTAGGCAAACTTCAGCTTCATGTTGTTGTTGTTGTTGTTTTGGGGTTGTTTTCCCCTCCGTTTAACATCACACTGCAGCCTGGTTGAGTTTATAAAAAAAAAATAGGCTAATGATATTTAAGACTTTTGTGAAAAAATTAAGACTTGGACAACATAATTTAAGACTTTTTAAGGCCTTAATTTAGGAACATGAAATTTTAAAATCTTTTTATGGCTTTTAAGACGCCGCGGCTGCCCTGTATACTTAAAATGACACAAAAAACATTTCAATTATGACTCAAATAAACCCTTTTTATTTTTTAAAAACACTACATTCGCGTCAGAGAAGCTTGTGTTATCGCAGAATCAGCATTTTCTTAATATAACCAATATTGTGAGACTGAGGAGATTTATGCACTGTGTAACTTTTTGCTCTGCCTGGAATGTTCCACAGTGTGACTTTAAACAGCTCTAACTTACATTTACTCAATTACAGGTGGTTTTAAAGCTCAAAAATACAAAAAAAACAACAACATTCTGACTGTGAACGGGGTCGCCTCTCCACACATCTGACTTGTAACTTGGTTTGGTTTAGTCTCCATGAAGATAGAAAGGTTTAATGCCGTACTGTGAAACATTCCAGACAAAGCAATAACATCTCCATGGGGGAAAAGTGTTTGACGGAGCCTCCACCAGAGAAAAGTTACACAACACGGTGCTTTAACCACCTCTGACTAAAGGATGGATTTGCATGTTTTCGTGTCAAATTAAACCTCCCGAAGGAAAGTGGCAGGAGTATAAAAGGCACTTTGGTCCGTAGGTCACATGAGGCGGGGCCAGAGGCTTTAAGTAAACAGACAGAAGAGGGTCTTTGGCACCAGTCACATGAGAGCACTCACTTCACCAAACAAAAGAAACACAAACAACTGCCCCAAACACGACCTGAAAGCAAAGACTCGTGTTCTGAAAAAGGTACAGCTCATCCCGTCCCATACTTCAACAGTGTTGGGGAATAACAGATTACATGTACTGGAGTTACGTAATCAGAGTACAAATTATGAGTAACTGTATTCAGTTACAGTTACTGTTTCAGTGAGTGGTAATTGGATTACAGTTGGTTGAAATAAATGGATTGCACGGCGGTATTTTCCTGTTTTCCTATACCCACCCCCCACCTTTTTTTTTTCTTTTTTTCGGTAATTCCACTCACTGCCGGAAACTAAACCAGGTCTAAACTAGATCTAAACCAGGACTAAACCAGGACTAAAGCAGGACTAAAGCAGGACTAAAACCAGTATAAACTAGATCTAAACCAGGTCTAAATCAGGACTAAACTAGATCTTAACTAGACCTAAACCAGGTCTAAACCAGTTCTAAACCAGGTCTAAACCTTGACTAAAACCAGGTCTAAATTAGATCTAAACTAGACCTAAACCAGGTCTAAGCCAGGCCTAAACCAGGTCTAAAATTGGTCTAAACCAGGACTGAACCAGGACTAAAACAGGACTGAACCACAACTAAACCAGGACTAAACCAGGACTAAAACAGGATTTAACAGGACTAAACCAGGACTAAATCCTGCTGTGTGGACGTGTCTCTTCTATCCATAATATTTTTAATACGGTTCAGTAAAGTTTGGTCTTTTTATTTTCTTTTAGCAGATAAAACATTTTATATTATGATTTCCTCGTCTTTGCTTCTCTACAGCAAATCAATTAATCCAAAGTATTCAGATTACGTTACTCACTTTAAGTAATTTAATGGATTACGTTACAAACTACATTTTGGGGTGTTTAATCTGTAATCTGTAGGGGATTACATTTTAAAAGTCACCTTCCCAACACTGTACTTTAATAACTTTAAAGACGAGGTGTTTTACTTAAAAGGTGCGCTATGTCACTTTTTAGTTGCAATTCTGTATGACTGAAAGACATTTATTCCACATCCATCTCTCTTAATGTGAAATTTATGATGATTATTTAAGTTTTGATTTTTTTGTCTTGTGATTTTAATGTCGTTCTTATTCTGTAAAGCACTTTGAATTACTTTGTGCACGAATTGTCTTGCCTTTTGGGTCCGTCACCTGCTTCTTTCTATGAAAATGTCTTTGCTTTGCCTGGAATGTTCCACAGTGTGACATTAAACAGCTCTATTTTACATTTACTCAATTACAGGTGGTTTTATAGCTCAAAAACACCTAGAAAAACAGACATTCTGACTGTGAGCGGGGTCGCCTCTCCACAGATCTGACCTGTAACTTGGCCTGGTTTGGTCTCCATGAAAACGGAAAGGTTTAATGCCACACTGTGGAACATTCCAGACATGGAGAAAAGCATTTGACTGATCCTCCATCAGAAAAGTTACACCTTTAACACCTGACATCTTTAGATCACCATGTTCCATTTATTGTTTTGAAAATGTTGTTGTTTTGCCGAAAACAATGTACCGTATTTTTCGGACCAGGAGGTGCACTTAAAATCCTTTAATTTTCTCAAAAATTGACAGTGCCCCTTATGTATTAACTCTGGTTGTGCTTACTGACCTCGACGCGGCGCTCTAAAACCTGTCAAAATGTTTAAGGGCTTGTTTACACGAGGACACTTGCAGGTAAAAATTACAATATATTTTATGGGAAGTGCCTTTTGTTTAGACGGCGACAGCGTTTTTGGGGCTTCAAAAATGCAAAAATCTGAAACCACCTCCAGAGTGGAAAAGTTGAATACGCTCTGTCGTAGCGTTTCTGTCTACACTGCCCAAGACGCAAAACTCTGGTCAGATCTGCATCTTTGTCACATACATACAGTACACAGAAAGAAACATGTCGGATGGCACGCATACACAATCAAATTCCACACACTTTTGCATCACCGTATGCAAGTAGATTTCCTCCCAAAAACACTCGTCTAAATGCAGAATAAAAAGTGAAGACGCAACGCCACTTTTACGTCTTCTGTTCAGACCGTCATCATGTAAACGTAGCCTTAGTACGACTTTGGTAAACTACGAAGCCGCACCACTTGATGGATTGTCGGAGCATTACTGCGACTGTATTTAGGAGCCTCACTAAATGGTGCCATTTAGTCTGACAGAAGCTGACGGCTTCAGCGCACAAGGAGCGAGCTGTTTTTTTCCAGCGCTTATATTTTATGCAAATGAGTCATGTGGTTTTAAGTTTCGTTCTGTAAAACATAAACAAATGTGCTCAAAGCTGCATTAAACACATTACTGCTCAATGTATATTTGAGTCGTCGTTCACCAGGACAGGGAGGCGATGCCGGGCAAATTACAACACGATCTGCCGATGGATCGTGGACGCCTGGACTAAGGATCAGTCTCAAGTGTCGTCCGTTTGTTTCACTTAATGCTCCTTATAATCCAGTGCAACTTATGTATGAAAATAGACGAGAGAATTCAACATTATTGATATTGCTCCTTATAGTCCGAAAAATACGGTATTCGCATGTTTTATAACTTTCACTTTCGCTTTTGTATATGTATAGAGAAATGTTGTGTGGGAGCATGGGAGACAGGCTCGTCGGCGGAGCCTTAGCCTAAATCTCACAGCGACCTGTTAAGAGAATCTGCTCTATTCACGCTTGCGTCACAAACCAGGAAGACGTTTGGAAACATGCGATGACGACTTCCGGTGTAGTTCCCGACACTGAGCTCGCCGACCGACTGATCAAACCCACTGAAGTAAAAACACTAGGGATGTAACGATAACCAAATATTTATTTACATCTCTATTTATTTATTTATTTTTTTTACTACTTGTTCATTGGACTGCTAAATGTTGTTGTTTTGAATGTATTTACTTTTTAACATTGCTTTTTTATTATTGTTTTTATCTCTTTCTGGATCTCTGGGCCTCGGGGAGCACATTTCGTTCTGTCATGTGTTCCTCTCGCATGTTTGAATGACAAATAAAGAACCTTGAACCTTGAACCTTATTACGATATTTTGTGGAGGCTAAGAAAACTGTGAACACACTACTTTTTCCTCTTAAATCGAAATGAAAGACGCTGGTTCTGTCATAATCCAAAGACCTAAAGTTTAAAAGTGCTTATAACTGTTTTTTTTCCATGTAGTCTGCACTGAAATAGAGCAAAGGATCATGGTCTATGTAGTTCTGTGTTTTATTACTGCACCAAAACTAATAATTCATTTATCCTGAGACTTTTGCCGATACGAAATCACAATATTTTGGTTATAATTACATCCCTACCTGTCACCTAACCCTCTCACCCAGCCCAACCCCCCTCCAGCTGATCACATGACCCGCTTCTGATCTCAGCAGACCCCCACTGGCTGCCGAGAGCCCCTTCTGCCGGCCAGCATGTGACAACTGCCCACAAAGCCGAGATTGAGCTAAAAATACAGGCTGCCCGAGGTGGAACATTCTGATTAGTCAGAGATTGTTCTTGAATCACAACTCGCTCCCAAACTTGGCACCAGAAGAAAGAGGCGTCTGTGGGAGATTTGCATAAGAGCAGCCAGGCACCACTCTTTAACGCGCAGGCTCGCACACATACACACACACACACACACACACACCACACAAATACACACACACACAGACACGCACACGGATACACATGCTCGCACACACACACACACAAGAATACACACGCACCAATACACACAGACGCGCACACGGATACACACACACACACACACACACAGAATACACACACACAGACGCGCACACGGATACACATACACACACACACACGGATACACACACAGAGACACAGAGACACAGCGACACACACCAATACACACACACACAAATACACACACAGACACACACAGACACACAAGAATACACACACGAATACACACACAGAGACACAGAGACACACACAGAGACACACACACAGACACACACACACGCACGCACACGTTTCACAAGGAGACATTATAGGTAGAAGAAAGCAGCACAAACAAAACAAATTAATGAACAAATGAAACACACACACAAAGAGAAAGATGGACGAGGAAACAAAAGTGTAAAAGAATAGAAAAGTGTAATTAAAAAAGTATGCTGATGAAGACTTAATTATTATTAAAAATATATATTAATTTGAAAAAAACATGAGTTATGATTTGTAAATCATGATTTTAAAAAGGTGCATTGCGTAACTTTTCTTCTGGAGAGTCAGTCAAAAGCTTTTTTTTATTGCTTTGGGGGCATTCGTGTTCAGTCTTCTCAGTCGTCTTTATAAGTTTGTTTAAATGTTAAATCGTTCAGTGGTGCAGAAGTAACGGTGCGATCGACTGACATGATACAGACAGGACAGAGGCTCTTTCTGCAGGAGACATGCGCAGTAGAGCCAAGTGACAGTGGTGCAGGAGGAACAGGAGCAGCAGATACTCACACACAAGACTAGAACCTCTCCACACTTCACAAAAACATTTTAATATAGAAGTCGCACCGGAGAATAAGTCACAGGAAACACACAAACCATGAAAAAAAGTGACACTTATAGTCCGAAAAATACAGAAAATATGTTGTATTTTCTGAGTGCCACAGCTTTTTCAACTTTGTATTTGAACTGGTCCCTGCACTGAACAATGTCTACACATCCTGTAACACTGCCCCCTAAAATTAAACCTTTCTATCTTCATGGAAACCAAACCAGACCAATTTACGGGTCAGATCTGTGGAGAGGCGACCCCGCTCGCAGTCAGAATGTTTGTTTTTCTAAGTATTTCTGAGCTCTAAAACCAGCTGTGACTGAATAAACGTAAAGTAGAGCTGTTTAATGTCACACCGTGGAACATTCCAGGCACGGACACAAAAGCAGGTAGCGGACCCGGCGGCAGAAAAGTTACACAGTGCACCTTTAATCTTGGCCGCGCTCGGTGACACTGACCTGTTGCTCTCCTTTCTGATACTTGTCTATAGAAACCTGGGCTGCCATGGTTCACTGCTCACACTGCAGGAGCTGGAGCATTATAGAGACCGCAGACGAGACACCTGCACACACACAAACAAACAACATTAGACTGAGCGAATCACCACACGGAAACAGAAATAATTATATAAATGTAAAAGTACAAGTAAAAACAAAATAGAAAAATAAGTAATAATTTAAATATCTCAGTTATTTACAGAAGGTCGTAAGAAAAACAGTGTAAAGATGAAATGACTGACAGTGATTGTTGTACAGTTGCAGGGAGTATTATCTGTTACATAAGGGTGAGTTGTTGCACAGTTGTAGGGAGTATTATTAGTTACATAAAGGCGAGTTATTTCGCAATTGTTGGGAGTATTATCTGTTACATAAAGATGAGTTGTTGTACAATTGTAGGGAGTATTATCTGTTACATAAAAGCGAGTTGTTGTACAGTTGTAGGGAGTATTATCTGTCACATAAAGGTGAGTTGTTGTACAGTTGTAGGGAGTATTATCAGTTATATAAGGGTGAGTTGCTGTACAATTGTAGGGAGTATTACCTGTCACATAAAGGTGAGCCGTTGTACAATGGTAGGGAGTATTATCTGTTAAATAAGGGATTAGTTGTTCTATAGTTGTAGGGAGTATTATTAGTTACATAAATGCGAGTTGTTGTACAGTTGTAGGGAGTATTATCTGTGACATAAAGGTGAGTTGTTGTACAGTTGTAGGGAGTATTATCTGTTACATAAGGGTGAGTTATTGCACAATTGTTGGGAGTATTATCTGTTACATAAGGGTGAGTTGTTGTACAGTTGTAGGGAGTATTATCTGTTACATACAGATGAGTTGTTGTACAGTTGTACGGATTATTATCTGTTACATAAGGGTGACTTGTTGTGCAGTTGTAGGGAGTATTATCTGTTCCATAAGGGTGAGTTATTGTACAATTGTAGGGAGTATTATCTGTTATATACAGATGAGTTGTTGTACAGTTGTAGAGAGTATTATCTGTTACATACAGATGAGTTATTGTACAATTGTAGGGAGTATTATCTGTTATATACAGATGAGTTGTTGTACATTTGTAGGGAGTATTATCTGATGTGTTATAATGTTGTTTCCTCATCACAAACAAACCTGGAGTTGTGTTTTGTTTCATTCACATGTTTAAAACACACAAACCTGCACATTTAGGCCGAGCTCTTCTCTCAAAACAGAAAAAGCTCCGTTCCACCTTGTGATGTCATGTGGTAGGTAATACAGGAATCATTTGGATCATTTCAGTCCTAGAATTGCCAATCTGTACTGAATTAAAAGGTAAAATGTAGCTCCTAACTTGAAAACTATCACTTCATGACATCACAAGAGCATTCTCGATTATGGAAAAAAATCATTATCACGATTATTTCGGTCAATATCGAAATCAGGATTATTCAAACTATATTTTTTTAGTTACACGATGCATTTATTCAGCATTTCTCAAAAAACAAAAACAAAACAAACAAAAAAAGCACTTTGTTATTGATAATTTACGCAATTGCAATTGAAAATAAACATAGGCTACAAATATGAACTGTCGATGCCATTTTCTATGTTGCAATTTAGGCTCAGATTCAGTTCAGATTCATAATATAATTTGATTTTATATGTAATGATTGGATTTTACAGCATACTGAGGATTACATTACATTTACAGTACTATATTTGATCATTTGTATTTAATGTAATTTTAATTTAGTTTTGAATTAGTTCAGATATGAGTAGACTCATTCTTTCTCGTCTGAAAGTGGTCAATTTCATGAATAAGAACTCACTGAACACAAGAAGGGAAATTTAGCCACTTCATGAACCTTAGAGCAGTTTTGCGATGTATAAAGCATAAAATGAATAAAATATAGTTTGAACATGAAATAAGGCATAGAAAAACTTAAACGTATCCAAAATAAACTCTATATCCTGCTGTTCTACAATCTCTATATTTAAACAAATAAAATAAATATACTTATTTATATAAAAAATATCCAAAATAAACTTTAAGCTTGAATCGTTTCAACTCAATTATATGAGTTTGGAGATCGTTTGACACATAAATAAAAATCGCTATCAAAATTTAATTATTGCACAGACTTATTCTGAGGTTTGGAAACGTAAACAGACCAATAATAAAGAATTACTCAAACGCGTGTGAATGAAACAAAACACAAATCTTGAGTATGTTTTTGAGGAGATAATAACATTCTAACATGGCTTAAAGCTCGCAAAAAGAGTCAGTTTTGCAGAATAATTTTAGACAACATTTAGACATTTTCACATATAGAGGCTTTGCACCGTCACATGATCCCTATAGCAACAGTACCGACGCCGCCATGACACCGGACACACTATGTCACTGACTTCAGCAGCATCGGAGAAACATGGGCAGTTTTTGTTGTGTATTTGGTTGTTCTAGACGCTCTGAACGGGATAAAAAGATTTGGTTCTTCACTGTTCCTCTGGAAATTACTCATCAGGAGCTCAAACAAGGGAATTATCAAAAAAAGATGGGAATTATGTCTAGAGAACATAAACCGCGAAGAGATTTCCTATGGTACCATCAAGACACACTCACGTCACTTTCATCAAGGTATTTGCTATTTAAATAGTTTCATAGCTTATTTAATGAGAGAAGCACATTTAATGAACTAAAATGTAAAAAGAAAACATTTGCAGTGTGAGTGGCAGTAGAAACTGTATCTTCCAGCGCACATATAAACATGTCACTCGTCGTAGGACCCATGTTTTCTTTATTGTCTTGCTTATCCACAACTATGTCTTCTAGAATTAATCGTTTTTTGTGAGTGGATCTTTCTAACGTTCGCGAGGATCTTTTCATGGCCGATTCTTTCGAGGTTCGGCTCACAGACTCTTCGACTCGTGCGTCATGTTGATCACAGGAGCCCAGTGTGGGTTTGTAAACTAGTGTGGGTTTTCCTGGATAAATTAATGTAATTTTTGTTCAGTAAATGTGCTTCTTTCATTAAATAAGCTATGAAATAAAGAGGAACAGTGAAGAAATGAATCATTTTATCTCTTTCAGAGCGTCTAGAACAACCAAATACACAACAAAACCTGCCCATGTTTCTCCGATGCTGCTGAAGTCAATGACATAGTGTGCCCGGTGTCATGGCGGCGTAGGTTCCGTTGCTATAGGGGTCACGTGACGGTGCAAAGCCTCTTTTGCCAAATTATTTCACCCTTAGTATCTCCATGTGAGCCTATTAAATGTAAAAAAATGTGTACTATATGTTAAAATACATGAATGCCAAGACATGTAACGAGATTAAATACAGTAAAGTTCCATATTAAAATAATTCTTAGTGATTTTCCTCACCCTTATGAGCACTAATATAAAGTTAAATCACAGAAATATTAGTTATGTAGCTCATAATTGGGGGTAAACATACAATTTGAAAGTATGAAAAGAAATATTTAAACTTATTGGTGCACTGTGTAACTTTTCTGGAAAAAGATCTGCCACCTGCTTGACTCCATGTAGATTTTTTTTTCCTGGAATGTTTTAAAGTATGGAATTTAATTTAACTATATCCATGGAAACGAGCTGCCACATCACTAGGCCAGGTTACAGGACAGATCTGTGGAGAAAGTGGGCCCAGCTCAACGAAATAATGCGTGTTTTTGAAGACGTTTTGAGAAATAAAAACTCCTGTAAAAGTATAAATCCAAGATACATTTACCGATACACTTTTCCTGGAATGTTCTACCATACGGAAATTAATTTAACTATCTCCAAGGAAACAAGCTACGACATCACCGGACCAAGTTACAGGTCAGATCTGTGTAGAAAGTGGGCCCACTCACCAAAATAATGCATGTTTTTGTGGTAGTTTTGAGTAATATAAACTCCTGCAAAAGTATAAATGCAAGATACATTTACTGATACACTTTTCCTGGAATGTTCTACAGTACGGCATTTATCTCCATGGAAACAAGCTACTACATCACCAGACCAAGTTACAGGTCAGATCTGTGGAGAAAGTGGGCCCACTCGCCAAAATAATGCATGTTTTTGTGGTAGTTTTGAGTAATATAAACTCCTGCAAAAGTATAAATGCAAGATACATTTACTGATACACTTTTCCTGGAATGTTCTACAGTACGGCATTTATCTCCATGGAAACAAGCTACTACATCACCAGACCAAGTTACAGGTCAGATCTGTGGAGAAACTGGGCCGCTTGTCGAAATAATGCATGTTTTTGAAGATGTTTTGAGAAATAAAAACTCCTGTAAAAGTATAAATGCAAGATACATTTATTGATACACTTTTTTCCTGGAATGTTCTACAGTATGGCATTTAATTTATCTCCATGGAAACAACCTACCACATCACTAGAGTAAGTTACAGGTCAGATCTGTGGATAAAGCGGGCCCGTTGGTCAAAATAATGCATGTTTTTGAGGTAGTTTTGAGAAATAAAAACTCCCGCAACTTTATAAATGCAAGATACACTTTTTGTCCTGGAATGTTCTACAGTACGACATTTAATTTAACTATCTCCATGGAAACAAACTGCCACATCACTAGACCAAGTTACAGGTCAGATCTGTGGAGAGGTGGGGCCACTGACCAAAATAAGGCAAGTTTTTGTGGTAGTTTTGAGAAATAAAAACTCCTGTAAAAGTATGAAGGCAAGATACATTTATTGATACACTTTTTTCCTGGAATGTTCTACAGTACGGCATTTAATTTAACTATCTCCATGGAAACAAACTGCCACATCACTAGACCAAGTTACAGGTCAGATCTGTGGAGAAAGCGGGCCTGTTGATCAAAATAATGCATGTTTTTGAGGTAGTTTTGAGAAATAAAAACTCCTGTAACTTTATAAATGCAAGACACATTTACTGATACACTTTTCCTGGAATGTTCTACAGCACGGCATTTAATTTAACATCACCAGGCCAAGTTACAAGTCAGATCTGTGGAGAAAGTGGGCCCGCTCACCGAAATAATACATGTTTTTGTGGTAGTTACAATAGAAAAAATGTGAGATATGTTTGTTTACTCCCAGGCGAACCAATAATATCACCACGGGGACAAGCAGATGGCGGAAACTCCACTAGAAAAAAAAGTTACACAGTGCATCTTTTATTTAATTCAATGCTTTTGTTGTGTGGTTGAGGTTTGGCAGAGATTTTCAACAATGTAAATGACAAACACCAGAGTGTAAACAGTAACGAAACCATTATTGTGATTCGTTTATAAAAGATGTGTTTTGTTTTGTTTGTTTTTTTGCAAAAGGGACGCTTTTCTGTTTTGTAGTGACGGGGAGTTTATGTTTACACACCCACCACGATGGATGTAGCATTAGCACGTTAGCTCCGTGTTAGCTTCGGGGAGACACTTGAAACGACACGGGTTTGCGCTTTAAAAAAAACAAAAAAAATCGGGGACATTCTGCAAGTGTTTTTCACGAACCAAAGCGATGTTGAGTTTTACCCGAGCCAGTTTAGCTCGGCTGGTTTTGTTGTTTTCATTGGACCCGCGGCTAAGCTAAGGAGCTAACATGCTAACGAGCTAACGTGCTAACGCTAGCGGCTGTGAAAGGCGCATCTCGTGTTTGCGTGCGGCCAAAATGCCAGTGCGAAGCGCCATATTTAGCCAAAGGACCCGTCGCCAAAAAAACACTTCAAACTACGCTGGCGTGTTACAAAAAAAGCCCAGCAGCGGATTGATACGCGGCAGCAATGTGCACGCAAGCGAACACGCACCGGACTGAAATCGCGGACCCCGGGATCCCGCACGCGCAGATCTGCAAGTGCGACTGTTTTCTTGGTGTTAAGGTTAAAAGCAGCGAGCAGGCCGAAGCTTTATCTTTAGCTTTATCACACAAAAAAATAAAAATAAATAAAAAATCTCCCCACATCAGTCAATCAATCAGACGTGGGGGGACAGCTGGCCCGTGTCTCCCCTCCCTCCGCGCTCGCTCTCCGGGCCGGGCCTCGCTTCTCCGCTCGCCTTCGCGTTTCCCCACTATCCTCACTCAGCCCCCAAAACGCCGACATTTTTACCCCCTCCCTCACCCAGCCCCTGCCTCGCATTAGACAGATTTTTTTTATATTCTTCTCGTAGCGCTGCCCCGATTGCGTTTGAGTGCCGAAAAACGCGCTCCGCCGCCCTGCCCAGGTCCGCGCCGCTCGCCCTGGGGCATTTTCGCGTGCGGCCCAGATTGTTTGATTGATAGGGAACGGAAAAAGAGGGATTTTGAGTGACAGCTTACCTGAGTGCCAATCTTCGTCACACTGACAAGCGGCTGCAGCAATCGGGACCCGCAGTTGTCACGTTGCGTCATCGCGTAAGGGCCGCGGATGGCACGCAGGGCGCTCAGCTCATGAATATGGATGCAGTGGGCGGACTCATGACGTGCCCAGTCCCTCAAGTGTGAGTCTGCCTGGGACCAATGCAGTGGAAATGATACCCGCTGGCCTCCTTTTCTATGAATATCTCCGCTGCGGCTCGTATTCAGCGTGCTAAGGGACGATATCTGCGCCAGGACGCGAGTATTAGTTGTAATTTTGGATTCTAGACTATAAATTCTCAAAGGCTACTATTCCTGCCTGGGAGATGGCAGCACAGCAACAAGTTCACACTGCTATCTTGGGTAGAGTGACCTGATTTATAATAAATAAATAATAACATTCTGAAATGATTGTGTAATTAAAGGGAACTGTTGCACTCGGCCCATTCATGACCAACATGTGAGCCAGTATAGTCATTTTTTCTTTGTGTTTTGGTCATTTTAAAGCATATTTTCTGTATCTTACTGAAATAAATGACAATTTATGCCTCTCTTTACTGCCTGCAGGGAACAAATTTGTCAAAAATAGAAATTTTTTTGATAGATAAATCACAGTTTTTTGTATAAATCTGCTGGGACAGGGGACTGTCCTAGATAAATAGGGTTGTCTGGTCACCATATAATATTCCTTGCCTGGGAGATGGAAGTTTATTAACAACAAGTTCACACTACTATCTTGGGTAGAGTGACCTGATTTATAATAAATAAATAATAACATTGTGAAATTATTGTGTAATTAAGGAGAATTGTTGCACTCGGCCCATTCATGACCAACATGTGAGCCAGTATAGTCATATTTTCTTTGTGTTTTGGTCATTTTAAGCAGATTTTCTGTATTTTACTGAAATAAATGACAATTTATGCCTCTCTTTACTGCTGGCAGGTATCAAATTTGTCAAAAATATACATTTTTTGATAGACAAATCACAGGTTTTGTATAAATCTGCTGGGATTGTCCCGGGTAAATAGGGACGTCTGGTCACCATTTAATATTCCTGTTTAGGAGATGACAGTTTAGCAACAACTTCACACTGCTATCTTAGGTAGAGTGACCAAATTAACAATAAAATTGTGAAAAGAGTAATTAATGTAAATAAGGAGAATTGTTGCACTTGGCCCATTCATGACCAACATGTGAGTTTGAGCATTTTTAAGAAGCGTTTCTTTATTTTACTGAAATAAATTATAATATATGCCTCTCTTTACTGTTGGCAGAGTCAAATTTGTCAAAAATAGAGACACCTGGGACATTTCTTGTATAAAACTGGGACAAATCTGGTTTTGGATAAATCTGCTGGGGCAGGGGACAAAACTGGGACTGTCCTGGGTAAAGAGGGACATCTGGTCACCATAAGATATTCGTGCTTGAAAGATGACAGTTTATCAACAAGTTCACACTACTATCTTGGGTACAGTGACCTGATTTATAATAAATAATAACATTGTGAAATGATTGTGTAATTAAGGAGAATTGTTGCACTCGGCCCATTCATGACCAACATGTGAGCCAGTATAGTCATTTTTTTCTTTGTTTTGGTCATTTTTAAAGCATCTTTTCCATATTTAACTAAATAAATGTACTGTTTAGTCAAAATTTAGCCAAATTTACTGTTGGCAGGATCAGATTTGTCAAAAATAGACATTTCTTGATAGACAAATCACTGGTTTTGTATAAATCTGCTGGGACACGGGACACAGGGCTCAAAACTGGGACTGTCCCGGGTAAATAAGGACGTCTGGTCACTGTATGATATTCTTGCCTGAGCGATGACAATTTATCAACAAGTTCACACTACTAGCTTGGGTAGAGTGACCTGATACATAATAAATAAATAATAACATTGTGAAGTGATTGTGTAATTAAAGAGAACTGTTGCACTCGGCCCATTCATGACCAACATGTGAGCCAGCGTAGTCATTATTTTCTTTGTGTTTTGGTCATTTTTAAGCAGCCTTTCTGTATTTTGCTGAAATAAATCACAATCTATGCCTCTCTTTACTGCTCTCAGGGAACAAATTTGTCATAAATAGACATTTTTTTGATAGAAAAATCGCTGGTTTTGTATAAATCTGCTGGGACAGGGGACACGGCTCAAATCTGGGACTGTCCCGGGTAAATAAGGACGTCTGGTCACTCTAATTTTGGGGTGCATGCAAAAGCAAATCTGTTTCTACATCATAATAAACTTGTTTAGTCTTAATAAGTGGCTACAATAATATTCGGGGCTGGCAATATTGACAAAAAATTACTTTATGCATAATTCTGTAATCACCACCACTACTAAAAGTTTGGACACACCTTCTTTTTCAGTGTTTTTTTCTTTTTTTCTTTAAGTTTACCACTTTCTACATTTATATACACACAGAAGATACCAAATATATGAAGCAAAGTATCTGTAATTATTTAGCAAAGGAAAAAAATTAAGTTTAGATTCAGATTTTTGATGAAATCTCCCTTTTAAGAGGCTTTTTTTTTTTTTAGGAAAGATGTCGAAACTGTTAAGTATGAAAATGAACGAAAACTTGATCTGAGAAGAAAAAAAAACAAACAAAACAATTATTTTAAGGACATTTTACAAAACAATTCTCTCTTTTTGAGGTTACGTATCAATAGTTTTAATTATAGACGATACGTATGAGATATTCTGCAGTCTGAAGTCTGCATATTTCCAAAGCAACAACTGCAATATATCTTAAAATTTTATAACAACGGAGATGTAGACAGACTAATAACAAAGGGTTACTCAAACATGTGTGAATGAAACTGTCTGTCACCTTCTCGTTTCTATGGATACGCCATTGCTCTGCCTGGAATGTCCCACAGTGCGACATTAAACAGCTCTACTTTACATTTATTCAATCACAGGTGGTTTAAAAGCGCAAAAATACCTAGAAAAACAACATTCTGACTGTGAGCGGGGTCGCCTCTCCACAGATCTGACCTGTAACTTGGTCTGGTTTGGTTTCCATGAAGAGGGAAAGGTTTAATGCCACACTGTGGAACATTCCAGACAAAGCGAGAACATGTCCACGGAGAAAAGCGTTTGACGGACCTGCCACCAGAACAGTTACACAAGGCAGCTTTAATCTACACTGTGGAACATTCTAGGCAAAGCAATATCATTTCCATGGAGCTATGCAGGTAGCAGACGCTTCACTAGAAATGTTTCGCAGTGTAGCTTTAATATACACTCTTTAAATGTAGCTTTAGCATTCAAATTAGGTCTGTGGTGATAACAAATTTGGAAATGCAATAATTCCTGCAGAAAATACTGCAATAAACAATAATACATAAGACAACAGTATGTAACTTTTTGGGTGGACGATCGTCACCAGCGTGTTTCTATGGATACGTCATTGCTCTGCCTGGAATGTTCCGCAGTGTGACATTAAACAGCTCGACTTACAGGTGGTTTTAAAGCAAATTATGAGTAACTGTATTCAGTTACAGTTACTGTTTCAGTGAGTGGTAATTGGATTACAGTTACTTTGTTAAAATAAATGGATTACACAGAGGTATTTTCCAGTTTTCCTGTTTTCACATTTTGGGCTACATAGACATAAGTGAGATCATTTTCGTATGTTATTTGTCTAGAAAATGAGATGAGTTAAGCCTGTGTAATTAATTTAATTTTGAATTTTGATTTTTGTGTCAAACAATCTCCAAACTCATACGATAAAGCTTAACAAAGTTTATTGTGGCTTTTATATATATATATATTTATTTATTTGATATTTTAAATATAGAGATTGTAGAACAGCTGGATATATAGTTTATTTTGGATACATTTCTTTTTCAAGACCAGGTGTGTCAAACTAATTTTGTTCCGGGGGTCGTATCCAACCGACTTTGATCTCAAAGTGTCCGGATCAGAAAACTCATGTCATATAAACCCCAAAAATAACAATAAGTTAAAATATTTGTGCAGAGAAACACAAATCTATTACAGAAATCTTTTTTTTACTGATGAACTCTTTCTTTTACAAAATACTATAATATTATGAACAACCTGAAACTTTAAGAAAAATACAATTTCAACACAAAGTTTTAACATGAACTTGTATGTAAATAGGAATAAGTAAATTTTTGTTGTAAAATCCTGGACTCAGCTCCACTTTTCTCATGTTGGACATTGTTCTGATGAGGGTGTCACGGTCAACAGTCAAAACGATCGTCCTTTAAGAGCGTTTGGAAAGAGACAAGTCTTCATTACAGAGACGCTGGAGACGCTGCTGTGATAAACACCACAGAAAATTAACACGATTTTAATAGAAAATATAATTAAATATTTTAGTAGAAAATCAGTCGAGGCCAGATTAAAGGACTTGAAGGGCCGGATCTGGTCCCCGGGCCTTATGTTTGACACCCCTGGTCTATGCCTTATTTCATGTTCAAAGTATGTTGAGCATGTTAGTATGGTATATTTTATTAGTATATGATTCATTTTTTGTTTTATACATCCCAAAACTGTTCTAAGGATCATATTTGTAGCCTGAATTTATTTCCAGTTTCAAAGTTTCACGTAAATTATCAATAACAAAGTGTTTTTTTTTGTTTTTTTTGAGAGAGAAATGCTGAATAAATGCATCACGTAACAAAAAAATAATCATGATTTCAGTATTGACCAAAATAATCGTGATTTTTTTTTCCATAATCGAGCAGCTCTGAGATGAAGATCCTCGTGATTTCTTTGTGTAACTGTGTAAACACGGTGTTAAAATGCATAGGCTTATATTATGCAAATGTGTGCGCGCGCGAGGGGGAGAACGCCGCGCCGCGATTGGCTGAGCGGCCGCGTCTCCAGAAGTGGGCCAGTGACATCATTAAAACAGAACACGGACTCGGCTTTTTTCTAACGAGGCCCCAAGGCGGAGGGGGAAGCGTTTGAAGTGAGCTCAAGTTTTACATTCAATTAGAGCGAAACGAGGAGAGGGAACAAAAGTTACTACGAGAAAACGCCGCGCTAGAAATATTGGGAGGAAATGTGTCAATCTGCATAGGTTACACATCGTGACATCACAAATTGGAACAGAGCATTTGGAGCTTTGGTATAAAT